GAAACAAAATTTTTGATGAGGAAACGGTGCACCCAAGTTAAAACCCGAACAAGATATACTTAAACCAAAAAAAGGGGGGGGGTTAATTTTCGGTACGCCATACACGTGGCCGCGCACAACCCATAGACGTTTACGAAATAATTCTACGACACTCCGCGGCCGCGCACTGGCGATGACAATATTCCAAAATTGTGGGGGGGGGTCACAAGTACGCCGAGTATGAGAAACTATTTAGAGGGTCTCGAAACAAAATTTTTGATGAGGAAACGGTGCACCCAAGTTAAAACCCGAAAGAGATATACTTAAATCAAAAAAAGGGGGGGTAACTTTTGGTATGTTATACATAAAATTAAATTAAATTTTCGAAATATCGATCGCTGCAGCACTACGTATACACACTAGAACGCTTTGCGCACACCGTATAGTCAAAAACGGTTTAAATTTCAAATTCCGCGCCATCATGAAGCAGGGTACGGGTAAACAACAGTAATCTCGCTGGTAATCAATAGTAATGTGGCGGACCACGTACGGGCCACATAAGACTCTGCGCACGGGCGCAGAGCGCTCTCTGGTTGTTCGTCTCAACGACAGCGGACTCGGGGAGACAACGACTAAACAGCGGGTCGTTGCGGCGATTTTCTCCCCAGTCACGCCACAGGCGCTTCAAACTATATAAAAAGAGACACCGAACACCAGACCAACGTCCTCTCGGACGCCGGCCGGTCAAAAGCTTTTGTGCGCCCCCACCGTGCCGCCAAAGTAATCAATGACGACGATAACTAGCAGTCCACCGATGAATCGGCACTGATGACACCGAGATTCTCGGAATCCGAATATCAATTACGGAACAAAGAAATGAAAAAATTTTACGAATAAATTACAAAAAATGAGACTTAAAACTTACGCGTGGAAGAATGAACAGTATATAATATATATTCTTGAGCTGGCTGACACAGCGAAGCACAATATTCGGTTTTTTAAAAAAAAAACTGTAATAAAACAAAAAACTCTGAAGCAGTGAAACGGCGACGAGGGCTCGAAAAACGGCTGGAGAGAAAGTGACGTACGAACGGGAAAAGACAATATGGGGTCCGACGAAATATATTGAATCGAACACAGATTTATATTTATCTGTGGCACGCACTAAGATTGTGATAGTACTATCTTTAATTGTGCAGTCTACATATAGATAATATTTTATTTTATTATTTATGTCTACGGAGTACTAACAAAATATCTTATATGTCAATTGTCAATATTAATTTTTTTATTAATTTTAATTTCGTTACAAAGGCCTACCCGTTTGCTTGTACAATTAAGCTACACAGCAAGATCACCGGCTATCACTATAATTTCAAAATATGGAAATAAATTGAACCATTGTTTTATGATTGTGTGGTAAGTACTGTTTCCGTTTGAACAATTTAAATGTTTAGATCGAATACATTTTACCAAACCTATGTAGCTTGTATTAAACTAAATCATTTAACTTCATGAAGTCAATAGGTAACGTACTATACAAATGCTATTTTATATTATCTTTAGTAATTTGAATTTAGTTTAGTTAAAAATGTTTATAAAAGTATCAGCAGTGATTAAATCAGAAAAAAAATAGAAATGCCGAAATCTGCTTACCATAATATTTCAATGTCATGAATTTCATTGATCAGAATATAATTAGAAAGGATACGCTTAATTCATTAATACTTTTTTAAAAGAACATGAACTGCGCTTTACCGCCCTCAATTCAAGCACAGAGTATACTTAATATCTATCTAATAAATTATAAAATGAGTAAATTATTGAGAATATCAATGTTGGGTCGTCAGGAGCAGTAGTTGATTGTAGATTTAAGTATTTAACTAAGATTATACAAAAAATAATTTACAAGGATAATATTCATGGGTCAAAAAGAAAAAAAGAAATATTTCCGACTTTATAATTTTCTTCAAAATACATTGTTATTAGTTTAAGATTAAACACATTATCTATTACACAATATTATTTGATTTATAATGTTACATTAAAAATAAATTATTTTAGCCTCACTTATTATTTTTAAATGGTTTTAGATTATTTTTTTGTTCATTTCTTTTTTCTTTATTTTTCATAAAGAAAACTATCTAAAAGCATTAATATCCGTGGCTTACCAACAGGGTAGCATGATGGGTAATGAGTGGCGGGCCCATGACTCTAGAGTCTAGAAGGTTCTTGAAGAAATTTCAAAAATTCAAGGAACAGGTCACCAAAATTAAATTGCTTTAAAATATAATAAACTTACTATTTTTAATAATGTCTCACATAGGTTTATATTTTATAGATTATTTTATCTGTTAGCAGTGTTAGCTCTTTGATGTCAGCAATATCGTAATAATTGTGAAACGGTTAAGTTAGGTTATCGATTTAGATGAACCAAAAGTTGAATAGGAAATAGTTGAAAATAGACATAATATACCTAAAGCAGTAAAGGTAAAGGACCTTTTACTAAAAATTTAGATGGTAGGTCCTTTTCAGAAAAATATTATTTTACAGTGTCAAAATCTGGTTGAAAAATCTGACGTTCATAGCTATGTTCTTTGATTATACTTCAAAAAGCGTATTGTAGGTCGTATTATTGTGATTGGAAACACATAGGAGTAAAAATCATTAATTTCTTATAATCTATTAGTAACGCCGTATCTAGAGATACATTTTGTGGGCAGGTACATGTTCCTCATACCCCCTTCCCCTAAATTTGTAAAACTAAAGGACTTCTGAATTATTTTGTCTTGGGCATTAGAAGTTCTTATTACCCCACTGGATAGGATATCCTAAGCTTTTAAAGTTTTTTCTTTCATTATTAGAATGTATTACAGCAGTCATAAATAAATATTCAAAAAAGATAATTTCAGAAAAAAAAGTATGGCAATGACAAAATCATTTATTGATACAACTGTTGCTGGTAAAGAAAATTCAAATGAACAGGTAATATTTTTGTCCAATTATATTATGTTTATTGTAATGTACCTAATCATACTCTTACATGAATGTATGATGGTAAATTTTAAACCTGAAAAATAGGAATAGAATTCAATTCAACAAATAAAAATATATCATAATATATTATGTGTTATAATATACCTTAGTTGCATTTTAAACTGCATTAATGTCATTTGAATAACAGTTAAAAATGTATTTATTTTTAGACCCTTTTAAAGAAATTATTCAAGATGCTATTTAATGTACCACCAACCAAGGCATCTACTGAGGCTGTGATTGATGTAATTAATACTACACAAGAACTAGTTATTAAAAAAGGCATGATTGATCCTGAATCACAAGTAAGTCCTAAAAGAATTATTACAAATATTTCATTGAAAACATTTTTTGTTTTGTTGTGTGTATAGAAATCTTTAATCAGCTTTTATGAATCAGCTGATCTAGAAACGACTAAAGAAGAAGAAGTAATTAGAAGTATGTTAGAAATAATACAAGAAATACGAAACATACAACATCAAAATATCAAAGTGGGTACATGATAATATCAATATTAAAACAGTTTTAAAAGGTTATTTGTGCATTTAGTCACTTCTGCAGTCTCAAAGAAGTTCAACATTCCTTAAATTATTACAAGTAACAGCATTGCGGATACCAGTGTGGTTTCCAAGACATGATGAACAACCACCTCCATTGTGTGGTGCTATTGAGCCACTTCCTTCATATGTTGCAAAAGTATGCAAAGTGTATTATTTGAAAACATTAAATATTTGTATAACTTACATTAATTATAGAGTGGTGATTTGGTGGCGGCTCTTGTTAAACAATCTGGAGAAGAGCGATGGATTGTGGCAGAAGCAGTTGCATATAAAAATGGAAGGTATGAAGTGGAAGATATTGATGTAAAAGAAACTAATCGTAATTTTACATTAGAAAAAATATATGTAAAGCCATTACCACTAATGAGAGCTGATCCAGCCATTTGTCCAGATGCTTTTTTTCCCTGCAATCAATTTGGTTAGTATACTTAAACTGTTTTAGCAATACATTTTTTAAATTTTCAGACGAAGCATCTTAAACTTAATTGATGAATATAGTCAAAATATATTCACATAATTTGTAAATACTATATAATTATTGTAATATAGTTTTAGCAATGTATCCGCAGACTACTTGTTTCTTCAAAGCTCTAGTGAAAGCAGTTCCTAAAACAAATCATGATGGATATGAAGTTTTATTTGAAGATGATTTTAATCAATATACCATAATGATGTATGTAGCCCAAAGATTTGTTGTTTCATTTCCATCATTAGAAATTATTCATAAAGACGACGAGATGATGGTAGAATAATAATTTTATATAACATTACTCATAACTCATAAACTTATTAATTTAACTATTTTAAGATCTAATAATGTTTTGTACAGATTAAAAATTAGTATAATTTTATGTCATCAAACGATATCTTGTATTTTCTAATATGTTTGTTAAGTCTAATGTAACATGGACATTATACTGCGGCTTAGCCTCTGGCCATAAGGGTTTAGAGGTTCAACCGCCTCTCCATACCACACAACTTTTTGTATGGAAGCCAGAACGTTTTATAGTATTTAATTGTGTTACATAATAATATGATGTTAAAATAACAGAGGATTATTATCCTTGTTTACATAAGGTTTTTTGTTTGTAAGTATTGTGATATTTACGATAGCTTTCTGTCATACATCAAAACTATTGATATTGATTGTAATGTATGTAGTCCAAGTATTGGAAAATTACTGACATGGACAAAAAGTTTGGTGGAGCTGAAGAACCAAAAACTGCATTTTAAACTATTATTAATAGTATTATGTAATCCACTTATATGTAATTATGTTACAAAAATACTAGCTTCTGTTCATGACTAGGGTGACCAGTGAGAGATCATTTTAAACCTTAAAAAGGCTTAATATATCAGAAATATATAAATTGATAATACCGATTGAATAGTCTAGCATTGCTAATTATCCATTGTGATTTGTGAAATGATATTATTAACAGTTAAAGTCCTTAATACATTTGATAGAGACTAGGAGAATAAGATTAATATAATTTAGCCACAACAATTCTATAAATACATAAATAATTACTATGGTACTGTTATAGTACTAGTATTTGTTAATGAAATAATATATACATTGTTTATACTGTTTTTACCTTAACAGTTTAAATTGGTAAATAACATCATCTACACTTAATTCAAACTAAGAACTATAGTCTTTTAAAAACATGTGTGCAGGGGGTAGAGCAGAGGTATTCAAACTGTGCGTCGCGCCTCCCAGGGGTGTCGCGGGAGTTGTCGAAGGGAGCCGCTCAGTATAATTGAAAACCAATAAATACTTTTACAAAAAAACGTTTGCTATTATCATTGAGGCACACTGGTTGGGAAATGTTGAATTGTCTACAACAATCATTCGCTAAATATAGCTTTAATTTTTTTTATATATGTAATATGGTAAATAAATAACAAGTATAAATTATAAAATATATATTACATTCATATAAACATTGATTTTTTTGTAATTTTATAATTTTTGAGCCGTTAACATTTTGTGAAGACTTAAAGGAGCCGTGGGATGAAAAAGTTTGAATACCTCTGGGATAGAGCATTCTTAAACAGCAGTGGTACAAGTTAGCTGACTGCTGCCCAACAAAAACTGGTTCTTGTAAAAAGTATGATTATTAGGTTGAGTAAAAACTGTGACCAAACACTATACAGCCGACATATCAAATTCTACAGGTATATAAACTGTAAAGTAATAAACGTCATACCATACAATTGGTGAAAAAAGAGTGAAGCATTTTAATTGTTCTTGTTAACAATATCAATTGTCAGTAAAATATAGTCTACTTTTATGAAAAGATAACATTTTCTAAATTACCTATAATTAATAAATTTAGAAATGTTGTTTATAATTTCCTTTAAATTTAATAAATATTTCAAAAGTAGTGCAATATAAATATAATACTTACTATTTAGTCTTATAAATTGTATTATATTGACAATATAAATATTACATTGTATTTACTTCATAAGTACTAAATATAAATAATATTTGAAGAGCGCAAGAAAATTCTAAACTGTATAGATAAATAATTCAAAGTATCCACTAACATATAAATTTTGATTAATAGTCAAAAAATATATTTAAATGTGTAACCTTTAATTTTATTCATGAAATAGTGTAAATTATGTGAATAAACTACAGACAAATCTAAGTGCTTCTTACTTTTTATTTATGGAAAAACATGATGTGTCCCTATATAATGTAATAAATATTACACAGTAATAAAGTATTATTGTATAAATACCCCAAATACAATAATAAGCTTAACTTAATTAGTTATAAATTATAATTAAACTTAACAATACAATTAGAACAAAACAACAGAATAAAGAATATGATTATATCATTATTAATACTATAGTAAATGTACATATTTATTTAATATGTTATTTTTTTACATATGGTTCATTTAAAACTTATATTATATCCGGTTGCTGTGGTATGAGAGAAGTAAAAAATGTACTAACTACTGTCCATAACGTAGTTATTAAACGTTCATTTTGTCTTACTGCCGTGTCTTCAGTATTTCCATTCTGCTCTTGTGACAAATTCCTGTTGTCATCAACATGCTGTTCTTGTTGTTCAGGCTGAAACCTCCTTCTATTATGCTCATTAATGTGTCTCAAAATTCCACTTTGGTACCTAAAAATAATTTTAAAAAACTAAGAAAATGACATTTTTGTTAGGTCAATTTAACAATTCAAATAACCCAACATATTAAATAGTATATCAATGCTATTCTAAATACAAATTTAACTTACAATTTAAAGACAAATGTTAAACTTACAAATATAAAATAAGTGCAAAACCAGCAACAACAATAAAACGGCCAGGTGATGAATAGAAATAGAGAACGCTTATGAAAATAAATACTCTACTGGATACATATAACCAATCTAACCAATCTTGATTGGGCCCAGCATCTTGTATGTTTAAATTTGCATTATTAGCAGGTAGGTTTTGGTCTGCTGGTTGATTATTGTTATCTAATATTAAAATAAATAAGTATCAAATCTTTAACATGCACACAATTTTTTTAATTTAAATTTATTTATATGAATGTTTCTTACTATTATTGTTTGGTAAATCTGGAGGAGGAAATTCATTTTCGACAGTTGGAGTATTCAATTGTATAGGAGCTCCTAAACTCGATGCAACTCTATTAAACAAAACATTTAATTATTCAGAAACATTAATAATTATTAATTGGTCAAAATTGAAATACTTACGATTGCCAATATTGTGCCATTTGAACGGCATACATTTTATTCACCCAAAGTATTTGCTGAAGAGCTAATTGTTCTGGTGTCAATGAAATACTGTTAGCATTATTATTCAATTTAGTTTGGTTTTGGGTGGGTTTAGTTTCTTGCTTATTGTTTGATGAAGTACTAGCTTCTTGGCGAACTTCTTGTTTAGTATCTGTAGAGTTACCATTACCAGAAGTACTAGCACCATAGTTGACTTCATTTAACTTAGGGCATTTACCATTGATTGCATTTACAATTTCCTCACTTTTAAGTTTTTCTATAAATAAAAAAAATAATGAAAGAAACCTAAAGGTTGACACAATGGTAGGATAGAATACTGGATTTGATATGAACATTTTAAAATAAATCACAATAACCTATTGACCAACTAACCGGCAAATGTAATCATTTGTATTATAACATATATTATGTAACCTGGATTCAGGTAGTCATGATTTTGACATTTAGGTTAAATCAACTATAAAATATTGTCCTACAAAGGCTACTGTAATTCATCAAGCATTTAAGTTTAAAATATTTTTCAAATTTGAATTATTAAATAACCTTAATCAGAACAAACTGATAGCATCATTGATTTAAGTTGGTGAATTAGTGCCTAGAGGTGGTATTGATACATTAGTTATTTTGCTTGGATCTAATTTAACACAAGCTGTAATTGGAATCGTAGAGCCCATCATGGGATATCAATAACAAACTATGAAGTAGGACTTGATAGCGCTAAGGAATGGAAAACAGTTAACTTTATAACAATATATTTTTGAATATTTATAAAAATTTTAAGATTAATTTATATATTAATCAATGTTATGTTTTTGTATGTCTGTAGCACTGTTAGCTAAGCTGATAAGTGTATGAAACTATAAAACTATACAATATAAATTCATTAATTATAGATTGAATATTAATATTATTGTACCTGATTTAGAAGTATCTAAATTTATTTATCAGACAATATAATATATTAATATTATTTTAAATATAAATATAAATTAGTTTATATGTTTGAAATAAAATAAATATAAAGTTTTACCTTTAAGTGGGATACAACAAGATGAAGATGAACAAACTAAATGAACAGTACGATTGAGTTGTCCATCTTCATCATATGGTCTCAAAACATCTTTTAGAATAACACCGTCAGTTAAGAGCTGACCAGAATATATTAGCCTTTGGTCTTCTGTTTTCTTGTAAAAAAGTAAAACAGATTTTATTTAGCAAACTTAAGTAGTTTCACTTTGGCCTCATCTTAATTAACAATTAAATAAAATGTAAAACACTTACTGGTTTGTTTGGATAAGTTTCATGAATGTACCCCTTGAGCTTCGCTACCGACCAATCCAATTTACATTTTATTGTATGGTCATTGATTTGTTGGTTTGGAGCTTTAATGGTTAGTGTGATCCAAGGATCTGTGAGACCAATGTCCATATTTTGGCACCTAACAAATATCAATAAGGTATTAAATAATAAACATAATTAATTAATAAAAATCAGTATAATAACTTTAAATACACTTACTGCTGATGTACGCGTCTATTGAAGAGTTATTATTATTATGACAATTTTCGATTTTGTAGAAACAACGCAATTATTAATTAGTAATATCGCCTAAACAGGAATAATTTGAGTACCTAATACCTACCTAATTATAAAGTTTTCTTTTCCTTTCACTATCAACATTTTGCTATCAACTATTTGGCTGTTTTTTATTGGTCGGAGGATAAAAAAAAACTTATCAAGGCACATACCCCACCACCAACTACAAATTGACCAATGTTTTCATTCCAGTTATCGGTATTTAAGCAAGATAATAGATATCCATTATCCTCTTAGATATTGATACTAATAACTAATAAATACTAAATTGCACACTTGCACTTATGAGTTACGGCCGTCCATCCACTTCGTAAAATCGTAATTCTTTTGTATAAAGAGGTTGAGTGTAATAATAGTGTTTACATCAAAAATTGATTAAAAATTATTATAATTATGTTGATATTATACATGTTCAAGTACAATCGAGTTTGAAGTGGACGGCTGTTTAATCATGCAATTTAAATGTCTTGTCACCATTATCCTTTAACTTAAATTGTGTACAGTAATTAAATATAAACATGAGTTTTTGGAGAGAAGCTTCTAGTGTGATACTACTGACAAAGTCTTCCAATATGAAGAATGTCTGTTGGGATCCATTCAGAATACTGTGCATTAAACGAAGTGAAATCAATTCTTACTTACCTAACTATACAGTCTTTCCAGGAGGAACTACAGAGAAATCAGATTCATCTTCTGAATGGACAGACATTATTCCAGATTGTACAAATTCTAATTTAAATTTGAATATAATTGGCTACAGTGGTATGGCTTATTGCTTATTTATCATCTATTTAGTAGTTAGTACTTACTTTAGCAGTCTATCACATTCTCAAAATCATTGTAAAATATTATTTGTCTTAGGTAGCCCAGCCATTAAATTTGTACCAGATAATGAACAAGGATCTATTCCAAAATGTCTATCACTAAGAGTAACTGCTATCAGGGAAACATTTGAAGAAAGTGGTATACTGTTGTGTAAAAAAGTGAACTGCGGCCAACCTGAGAACTGTGCAACTGTCAAACATTTAGAAATTGATAGCATTGACAGATGGAGAAAATTAGTTCAGACAAACGCATCTAATTTTATCAATTTATGTAATGAAAATAATTGTTATCCAGATGTTGGTGCCTTGCATTTGTGGAGTAACTGGTTAACGCCTCCACTATTAAAGACAAAATTTGATACAAAATTTTTCCTTGCCTTTATTGAATCTCCAGTTAATGCAAGTCCAGATGGTGTCGAAACATCTCAAATGACAGTGAGTACCTATTGAAGTTAGTATTTATATTTTGTAGACAATTTTGTTGTCTCACAAATATTTGTATTTATATTTAGTGGAATACACCAGATGAAATGTTATCAAGATTTGTTAATGGTGAAGAAAAACTTGTTACTCCTCAATATTATGAACTGTTAAGATTAAGACAGTTTACATCATTTACAAAACTAACAAATTTCGCTTGTGGGAGAAGTATTGAAGGATGTGAACAAATATTACCAATGGTTATTGCAACTAAAGACGGATATTTGACATTGCTCCCAGGTAAAATATTTTAATGATTTATTTGCCCAGAAAGAAGAGCTAAGGGTTATTATTTCTTGGCAACCAAATATAATATATAATATTTTTGATAATTTCTTATAATTTCTGATTTATGTTTTAAAACTTCATCAAAAACTCAAGTATACAAATAATATTACAGCGTAGGTTCCCCCTTATTCTCTAAATTAAATCCTAGTGAAAATGTATGAATCAACATTATTTACAGATAAAAAAGTTGTTGTAGAATAATATATATTTCTAGTAAAGTAATCTAAAACTATAATTATTGTTGATGTATCTACTAAGTAATAATTACTATGAGTATTGAACAATGAACATACAAGTCTGTTAATAATTGTAACATACATGCAAATAATTATAATTATTTTGTGAATTTAAATGTTTTTTTTTTTAGGAGATGGAAAGTTTAATAATTCTGAAAAATATTTAGATGTACAATATGAATTGGATAAACATTTACAAGATTTTGACTCTGATGTGATGCATAGACTACATCATACTGAAGAATATTTACCAAAAAAAATAATAATTAAAAACTATACACCAAAGTGTAGACACATACTGCCCGCAACTCTACCCGATTGTAAAATTTGAAAATTAAGGTATAATAGTTTATTATTTGCCAACATGTGTCTCAGTAATTAATTTCGTTGACCATAATTTGTTTGCAAATATCTTTGAATTCTACCAAATATTGATCTCTATTTACCCTGATCAAATCAACCAACTTTTTATTTTGTTGTTAATTATTTTATTAAATTATTTATTGTTTTTAGTTAATTTTAATCTGTGCAACACTTTTAATTAATACAACTTATAAACAGTTAAAAGATGTATGTTATTTATTCATAATATTGTAATAATATGTTGTTACCATTGTTCATTAAAGAACTATTAAATATTGATTTTAAACGGAAATATGCTTTAACATAATTTAATGTACCGGATCAGTTATAAAATTATACAATGTTGTTTTGATATGTTAAAAAATGTTATTATAATGCATTTATTTCTATGATGGAATACCAATGAGCATATTATTTTTTGGTGTACATGTGGGTGGTTCCAACTTTGAAAGTGTCACATTATAACCAACTTCTATTGCTCTGGATGCACGATCTTTATCTACTGCCGCCATGCATGTATAACCTTGTTGTGTTTTTGTGCAATTTGGATCAAAATGGGTTTGATCTGCACAATGACACAGTACTAAGTAATCTTCGAATGAGAAATTAGCTTGCCTCAATGCTTGACTTCTTGGATACTCCAAAATATGATTATCCTGTAAAAAATTATTACATCATTTATAAACATGTACATTTTTAATGTAAGACTCACTTGAACACCTCCATAACAACAAGGACATACAACAAATGTTGCATTTTGCAGTAGACACTTTTCTAATACCAAATCTGTAGCAACACCACATCCATGCAAACATAAACCTACCTAGTAAATGTTGAATTCGGATTATTTTTTTTATATTTAAAAATATATTTACAATCTATACAATACAAAGGTATAATGAGCAGGGTTTGGGACTTATAGCACTTAAAAACACAATAATAAATCCTAAAATATGCATAAAAAAATTAAAAATATGCATTTAATATATTTATTATTAATTATTAATTACAATTGGTGTACTGAATATAAAAAATTTAAAAAAAAATCTACTGATCTGAGTTTTTAGAATTTTATTCGTCAACTATATAATGATAGGAAAATTAAAAATTAAATTTTTCATTTAAATCAATAAATAAATAATTTTACATTTAACGGGAATACCTTTAGTTTCAAAGAACGTTTAATAACTGTAATATATTAAAATTATCGGATCGCTCGTATCGCAACTATTATATAATATGTAACGATACGGGCAATTAGGCCATCATAATATTTTCAAACCACGAAAATTATAAGGAGTTGTGAGTTGTACATAGCAAATAGGTACATAAGACTGCGAGTAAGTTGCATTTTTTAGATCGGGTGAAATTTGTGAAGTTGAAATTTCGAAAATGTTTCTAAAATATGCAAATTAAGCACAATAACTTAAAAATAAGCAGTTTCCGCCAAAATTGATGAAATATGTAAAAATATGCACATTCAAATTTTTGATTTGGTATCACGGCATTGAGAAATGAATTTATTTCACACTCTGCTACATTTTACAAAAAATAAAAAGTATGCAATTGCTACAAGTCCTGAACCTTGATAATGAGTAAATGTGTTGACATACATAATTTGACATAATAACATAGTAGGAAAGCTCCCAGCAGTGCCACCTGAATTAGACTATTAAAAATAAAATTAAAAAAATTAATAATAAAATAATGTCTACCTGGAAATTTGCTTTAAAATAGTCCAAATTAGAATGGACAATCATAATGTTTTTTAAATCCAACTTTTCAACACGCTCTCTAGCTCTTCGTAAAGACTCTTCTTTATTGTCGACTAATATAACTGTTAGGTTTGGTACAAGATAAGCAATTACAATTCCTAAATGTCCACTTCCACAGCAAAAATCTACTACCACGTCACCATCTTTAACAACCTATAACAAATAAATAGTTAGTATTTCCATGGTTAGAAATATACATTTACATACATTTAATGTAGATTGAATAAGATTTTCCAATTGTTGAGTTTTTCTAATTAATCTTTTATCCGGTATATCTCCCCCTGATGGGCGAACCTCATACGGTAATTCTTCCCAGTCAATAGGACACAAATTATTAGAGCTCAAATCTATGTTGATATTAATGGTATCAAATGCCTGGATTATTTCTTGTACATTTTGCTTAACATATGTTTTTGCTCTTGGATTATATCGTCGTAAATCACATTTATACAATGAATGAAATGGAACTTCTGGCAAAATTAGATTTTCTGGCAATTCAACTCTATCAAAAATTATACATTCTAGATAATTACCAATATCTAAGCGTTCCAAAACAGATTTGTACCATTTCAAAGTTAAAGGTAAAAATGTATTCATTGTATTTTCCCCTAACAATTTATAAGCAATATATATATTTGGTAATATAAGTACATCTGAAAGTGTTGGATTGTCCTCATCTGCAAATCTTTGAGTAGGATGGAGTGATTTTTCATTCAGACGTTTATTAATGTTGTGTATCTGTAGTGGCTGAGATAGATGACATTCAAAGCGAGCAAGTTGTATTGGAATTTCATATGGGGCATTTTTATCAGAGATTTGATGGTTAAAAAATGTGTTTATTGATGCCTGCAATTGGACTTCACAATATTTGGTCCATGATGAAACTTCAGCACAAGCAGATAAACAACTCTGTCTAAAACCAAGCAGCCAAATCCAGTTTTTTGAAATGCTCTTAATAAGCTATAAAAAAAAAAAATATATATAATATATGTATTATACTATAAAAATAAATACGTAAGTTGTATTATCTACTATGAGGTAAATATATAGGTACCATTCGTAACGAAGAACAAAATCCAGCAGTACAATAATATCCATTGTCACTTTGAAATACTGGCAATAAACAGTCTGCTGCAGGCCTAGGTAAATCATTTTCTAATATAACTGTATAACTTAAATCATTGACAGAGAATTTGAATTTAATAAGTTTGTCGTCTTCAATATTTTTGGACACAACCAGAATAACTGGAGCTTTGACGTATTGACAAACAAATAAAACAATTGAGGTTTGTAATGAACATACAACATGTCCATTGGTTTTATCCAAATCAATAATATTAACAAATAAAGAAGACATTGTATTCTTTGGGAAAACTGATTAACTGTTTAATTTGTACAATATGTAATGCACTGTACAGGTACACACTGCTACACAACAGAATCTAATTGTTTTTGTAATCTTTTCATTAACTTTTTATGGAACTGTTTTTTTTTGTATTGTATAACAGATAAACTGATTACAGCAATAACAAATTGTGAGCCTTGGAATAACCAAAATTCTTTTTCTGATGTTCGAATGGTTGGTTTGTTGCAACTAAAAATTAAAATAAATGATTAAAGCTTATAAATAAACATGATACACTAATGACTGAAGTATAATATATATATATATGGTAGGCAATACCACAATTTATATTAATTTATATAATTATGATGTATTTAATTTTAATTTACCGTACAAAAAAATAGTATAAATTAATAATTATTAGTAGAGAACTTGATAGTTGATTAGTTAGTAGATTTTAGGATAATATAATGAGTAACTAGTAAGTTGAGACTGATTTTGTATACATTTTTTTGTTGTTTAAATTAAATTAAATTTAGATTGTTGAAGTTAACATTTAGCCTTAGTTTGAAATTGATTATTAATAATATGAATATACCTTCTATGTGTTAGTCCAGAAATTTTGCATTCAATTGTTTCAACATAACTTGCATTAATGCATTCAAGCCTGTCAGTACACAAATGACACTCTTTCAGAATTGTATTTTCTTCTCGCAACCAACATTTATTTGATGAATTTTTATGATCTTTTACACCTTCGGATGTCTCCGCTGCAATTGTGGCATTGAGACCAGAAAATGCACTTGAAGATGTAATTTTTATAAATATAAGTAGCGTAATCCTAAAAATAATAAGTATTTGTTTTACTAACATAAATAATTTATTATTAAAGCAGTGATTATAGATATGACAAAAATAGGATTTAATCAAAATTATAACATAACATAGAGTGTACGCTTGTACATTTAACAATTGCAAACTACAATTGTGAAATAAACTAAATAGTGCTAAAATTGAATTTGCTTTTATTATTGACTTATAAACAGGTGAAATTATATTTACCCTCCGATGAAAATAATTAGCAGTAGTAATCTTTTGACAGAACAAGATTCTAACACCATTTTACATTTTTAATGACCACAAGACTGAATGAATGTGAAATCATCAAATGTATGGGTGCTAAATATTTTAATTAGTTAAACAGTGAGCAGACATACGAGTTAGAGTTTTTCTTGACTACCATACTAAATTATTAACAGATTTATGAATCAGGGACAATCGTCAATCATGAGATTACAATATACAAATACAATATTTACAAAATTACGATATCATCAAAGCATGTATTCGTTCGTGGCGCTATAATCACAAAAATAATTATGATATCAATATTACTATGGTGTAACCACCATAGAACAATAGGCGTGTTTTGGCGGTGTAACCGGCGCTAACCGCTAGTTAACTGTTTACTGATATCGTTTTCGCGATTACGGTTACTGTAACCGGGTAACTAATTTCGTGAACGAGTTTAGTGAATTTTGTAACCGTCGATTTCGACCTGGTAAGAGGGTTTACTGAGATTTGGTTACTAAAAAGTTTATGATAAAAACGTGATAACAATAAAATATTAATTTAATAAATTTACTTTAAGTAATTTTACATAATTCAAACCAATAGTAGATTTGCCTATATAATACACAAGTACATTTTAATAATTTTAATTATGGAAAGTACTAATTACGATTTCATTGATTTTATCAGAGACGAACAGGAAACTTGTTGTAGGAAATTAAGTAAATTATAAAAAGTGTCTTGGGTCATCCTATAGTTAACATGGAAATCATGAGCACTATACTTAATGATCCAGTCTTCAATATCAGCTTTTGGACGAAAATGCTCATTCCGAATTACTGTACTTAATAAAGTTAATTTTTTAAAATTACATTTAGGTTTCGTCATTACTATATTGCTAGTAACAATATCATCAGACTCTACAATGTCGTTCATCATCATTAAAATCAGGGACAACTTCTTCCGTGAAAAACTCATGCTCACAAAATAAAGTATTGTACAAATGTCTTTACACTAGTAAAAAATAAAAACTTATACACAAGTAGAGATTATTATACTTGGACTTGATTTTAGAAATTTGTATTTTGTATTTTTGTATGCCCGGTATTTCTATGATAAGTGTTATCAAATATTTCAGTAAACATGTTCAAGCAATTCGTTTTGGCGTTCTAGTAAACGTTTTCTAACCGTATTCTATAACCATAAACTTATTTATTAAACAGTTTAATCCGCCAAAACACGCCTAATGTAACCACGGATGCAACAGAATCAGAAAGACCAAATGACAAATAAAAGTAAGAAACTTTATACCAGTTAAACCATAGTTAACCATATAAAAAAAATACGAGAATTACATGGACAATAAATAATTTAAGAAATTATTTTGTCGAGAAATTCCCAAAACGATTATTTTGATAAAAGATTTTGTTTCAAATTTATTTATTCTGACATTTTTTTTAAAAATTAACTACTTACACCATTAACCACAACTTAAATAAACGTTTTTAGGGTAAAAAATTATGTAAAAATTAGAGTTAGATACAAATTAAAAATTTTGAATTTTTATTAAATTATATACATTTTTTTTTATTTTCACCATAAAAAATAAAAATAATAATGTTATATTGTAATTGAAGCGTAAGTGTCTATAAACTTTATAATGTATAAAAAACTTGTTAAAATATTGATTAGAACAAACATTTTTTAATTTCTTACGTTTTTCTGTTACCTAAATATACATTATTATGTAACAAGAAAAAACTGGATTGGTTTTAAACCTAATTAGTACTTAGTAATAACAAATGGACAAATGCCCAATTGCCTACATGGGCAGATGTGGAGCTCAGAAATCATAAAATAAAAAAGGAATGCGCTCATAAAAAGTATAAACTATGTCCTTCTTTTGCCAATTACCTACGTAGAATTTTCTGAGTTTTGGAAAAAATGTAAATGATTGATTCAAATCTGTCAAAACTCCCAATCAATACATTTCGGGCATAGTGAATGGTGTACAAATAAACATAAAATCTTTTTTGACCTATGTAAATTCTCTGGAAAAAACTTAAAATAATGTCCCAACTGTACGAATTATAATAATGTAACTTAAACATACCTCTGGAAAGGTCAAGTTATTTGCAGATTATTTTTCCAGTGTTTATGGAAATAGCTCTGACTAGGTTGTAATGTTACCCACTATTTCTTCTAATAATAATCATTAATTTAAGCTCTTCGTCTATTGATCCTGATGATATTAATGATTATTTATATTCTTTAGATCCGCATGCAGGTACAGGACCCGATGATAAACCGTTAGTGTTTTTAAAATATTGTAGTTCTGTACTTGTAAAACTACTTCATTTTATTTTCAATAAATCACAGAACCTATTTTTCGAATTCTTGGAAAAAAATTGTTTATAACCCCGATCCAAAGTAGGGCCGCAGGAGATAGACGTAATATTACTAATTATAGACCAATATCTAAATTGTCTATTTTTCCCAAAATGTTTGAAGCAATAATAACTGAAAAGTTGTCCGTAATGGTTTCTCCTCTCATTTGTAAAAACCAACATGATTTCAGACTGAAAATGTCAATTTCCACTAATTGGTATTCTATTTTACCAATTCAAAATACTTAAAGCCTTAAATGATCATGTTCAACTAGATTCAATCTATACTGACTTTCAAAAAGCTTTTGATAAGGTTCATCATAATTTACTTCTTAAAAAATAGCTTTTGTTTTAATTTTTACTGTAAAATACTTAAATATTTAAACCTGATATTATTCACACAAAAGGATTATTATCTGTTTAATATACATCAATAAATAAATAAACAAATAAGTATAATGTAGAATAATAAAAAATTACATAAAATATATTATATTTTAAAGTTTACATTTTTGCTGAAATATTATTGACATTTACAATATGAATTTAATTAACATTTATTATTTACAACTATGATAATCAATATGCAAACAAATCCAATATATTGTGTATTCAATTATTGTCTGACTTGTTCCAATATGCCCTGACGAATAAGTGGCTCAGCTTGCGATCTTGATAACATATACTGACTATTTTTTCGTAAAATCAAAACTTCTCCACTTTCTAATTCTAATTTACCTGCATCCACTAAGCTTCTTACCTAAAATATAGATACATCTATGCATAAATAATTCAATTTTTTACTAAAAAATTAAAAATATAAAAATTATCAAGTAACAATGTAAGTAAAAAAGTATACTAGCTACATTGTGATTTTGGTTTAAAATTAACATGATGTTGTGCATAAATACATTACATATTCCTTAATTTTTAAAGATGTATGATAAAAAACTTAGGCATTTTATTTTTATATATTATTTACTTCAGTATAAAGTGACTTAGGAGGCTTAGTGTCTTGAGTTAAATTGAGTCCAGTATCTGATCCTATGGTCTTCATATACGAGACTAAAGTTTTGCAATAATTATTAAACCATTCTAACTGAAAAAAAAAATTCATGTATATATAGTATAATTTATAATTAAATTTAAGCAAACCTCCGATTGTGAAAGATTTTGTCTAACATCTGAGGGTAAAATAGCCCCAATCTCCCATCTCATTGCTTTTAATCGTTGCAATCTAGTCCATCTACAACATACATTTATTTTTAACTTATTTGTTGAAAATCTTAATAATTGATTATCAATTTAACTTTACATGTACGTCATCAAACATCTTTTATTTCTTTCTATAGCTGCACGTCGTAAACGAATAGCATCCAATGGCAAATTATCTTTTTGTTTGCGCCTAAATTATTTAAATTGTCTAAATCAATAAAGACACAATAAAGAAGTATCAAGTGTTAACTTACAAGAACTCAATAATTTCTGCATCTAAAGTTTTCATCTCAGAAAGCACTTGATTGATTCCATCATTCTATGAATCAAAAATTAAATTATTTATAAAAATATTGTAATACTTGTTTATAAAATGTGGTATGTATATTTGGATCAAATAAAATATATATAGTATGTAGACACTAGTAATGATAAACAGTAAGTAGCTACATTGTATGGCGGGATAGTGTCTTCACGAGAACGTTCCAATTCCTTTAGTAATTCAATAACTTTATCACAATACATATTTTTTTGTATTTAAAAATACGACAAAAGTTTTTTAAAAAAAGGAAAAATTAAATAAAATATGAAAATTATTCGATCAATTGACTGCAGTCGGACAATATTTTAATATTTATTTCATAAAAATATTTCTTATATAATGTAAAATTGTAAGCATTGAACTTATCTGTTGATTGTTATCATTAATAAAAAAAGCGGCAAAATTAAACATCAAAGACGTTCTAAAACGATCGCAACAAAAGGCATAGGAAATTTGAAAAACATTCGTACTCAAATAAAACTGTGGAAGGGGAAGTGTTTTAAGATTTGCTTAATACTGCCTATTACGAACTGCGTAGTACCGAGTATCACACTATAATACAGTGGTACTAGCATAATATAATAATGAATTATAGGGGGAACAAATATCATAAGTTGGATCAACTATCAACAGCTACTTATGAATGTCATGACATTGTGCATTTGTGCTTGTCTGTAAGATCGAATGCCACTCATAGTCACATATACGGGAATGACTGAAGTTGTTCTATTCTTTATTGGCATAAATGCATAATGTTGTAATAATTTATATAGAACGACTCTAACAGTCTAACGACGATAAATAATAAATATGCTATATGCAATATTAGCAAACATATTATTACCCATCGCCCATTCGACCATCAAGTACATTTTATATTATACAAGATATTTATTAAAAATAAATAAATATTATACTATTTGTACTCAATTATATTCCATAATACATATAGATTGGCTAGGAAGATTATAGAATTGCAAATAAATTGTGGCACAATGTATTAATATACTTTAGATATTGTGCAAATCACGATTCGATGAGCTAAAAAGAAATTATTGAATAAATCACTAGATAGCATTGAAAAAACCCACTTTTATTTTCATATTGAAAAATATATTATTATTTTAGTATAATGTAGGTATTAAAATTGATTATAATTACTGATATTAGTGATATAAAGCAAAATAAGTATAATTTATTTGCATTTAACAATGAATTATAATGTGTAAGATACGTGAGCGAATTGCACGAAAAGAATAATGATGGATCGTCGAAGTCAGTATGAGATTACCTAACGATTTTAAATTTTTTTTTTTTTTTGAAACTGCCTGATGGCTTTTTTTATTATAACGATCAATGATCTTTAACAATACATTTCAGAGGTATACATAAATATAAGATACTAATGAATAATATTTTATAGATATATATAAACAAAAACATGTTTGGGTTATCACTCCCAATGGAGAGGCCCGGTCTTAGTCTAACATTTTATACTAAGTCATATGGTCTTCGGCGTTTGAGACGCCTTATGTCTTGAGAGTTGTCAAGTAGTTGAATTGCTGCTGGATTGGTGTGTTGATCTAGCCTTATCTCGTGTTTTCGGGCAAACTTTGTAATCTCGTCCTGGACTGAGGGCATCATCAAGTCTCGGTGGATAGTGTCATTTCTGTCGTACCGGTACGCTGCGACAATAGTACGGAGAGCAATGTTTTGACAGCGTTGAATAATCTCAATATTGGACTTACTGGCACAACCCCAAAGTTGTATTCCATAGGTCCATATTGGTTTAATTATCGCTACGTACAAAAGACGTTTGCTTGTAAGGTCTAGTTCAGAGTGTCTTCCGATTAGCCAGTAAAGTTTCCTCAATTTATCTTTAATTTGCAACTTTTTCTGTCGAACGTGATGTTTCCAGTTTAATCGCGAGTCAATGTGCATTCCTAGATATTTTGCAGCATCGTTCTGTGGGATGATCTGTTGATCCAACATTACTGGACAATAAACACTTTTACGCAAAGTGTAATTTACGTGTACCGATTTGTCACTGTTAATTTTGATTTTCCAACGCTTAGTCCAGTTGGAGACGTTGTTAAGTGTTCGTTGAAGTTGATCAGTCGCAGTCTGCTGATCTTCATCAGTTGCCAATATTGCTGTGTCATCGGCAAACATGGCTGTCATTGAATAGTTGTTAACTGGAATGTCAGCTGTGTAAAGTAAGTACAAAATAGGTCCGAGGACACTTCCTTGGGGTACTCCAGCTGATATGTTTTTCCAGTCAGTTATTGCTTCTTCGTGAATAACTCTGAACTGACGTTCAGACAGATAGGACTCGATAAGTGCGCACCAAGTATGCGGCAATTGTTCGCGTAGCTTAATAAGTAATCCTTTGTGCCAAACTTTATCGAAAGCTTGCGCAATATCGAGGAATACTCCACAGCAGTATTTTTTTTCTTCCAGTGCCTTGTTTATTATATTTGTGACACGATGGACCTGTTCAATTGTTGAGTGTTTACTCCGGAATCCGAACTGGTGTTCAGGAATAATCTGTTTTACTTCTATTATTGGTTTTAGACGCTTTAAAAGTAATTTTTCGAATAATTTAGATAAGCTTGGAAGAAGCGATATAGGTCTGTATGAAGTTACTTGTTCAGGAGGTTTTCCTGGTTTAAGTAGCATGATGACTTGAGCTCGTTTCCATTGTTTAGGAACGTATTCTGTACGCAAGATGGCATTGTAGATGTGTGTTAGATGAATCATAGCCTTTTTGGGTAGTTCTTTCAGTATTTTCGGGTTTATTTGATCGTAGCCCGGTGCTTTTTTTATATTGATATTCGTATCGATTTCTTTAGCAATTTCAATTGGAGTAAAGTACTTAATCTTTTCGCGTGTTTCGCTCAATGGTTGATTCTGTTCTATATCGAGTTCAGAAGCGATATTGTTCGGCTGAAATGCATGTTCCAGATGACGTGCATACATTTCAGCTTTGTCTTGGTCACAACGTGCCCATGATCCATCTTCCTTGCGAATTGGTGGTACATAGGCTCTAGGTCTTTTCATTTGTTTTGTAGCCTTCCATAACGAATAGTCAGAGTCTTTTGTTGCTGAAAGGTTACTCAAGTAAGATTTGAACGTTTCGTTTTTGACTTCTTTTATCTTATTATGTAAAAGTTTACTAGCGCGGTTCCAAATAGTTTTATCCGATGGATCTCTCGTTCGGTGCCATTTTTTCCGCGCTTTTCTCTTTTCTTTTACTAGTTCCCTGACTTCCATTGGGTAGGTGATTTCACAATTTGTTCGTGCTGGTATATCAGGTGTTGCCAATTTTGCTGCCCTTACAACGTTGTTAGTTAGCTGTTCAATGGCACTATCAATTTCAATTGGTGTTCTAAGTCTTACAGAGAGGGTAATCATTTCTTCTAGATTAGCTCTGAAGAGGTCCCAGTCTGTTTTTTTATTGGTGAGCGACACCTTGCTTTGTTTTTTTATAACATTTGAACTTAGAGTGAGAAGAACTGGTATGTGGTCCGACGTTAATTCTATGAGATCTATTATTTCGACGTAATTAGAGGATATACCTTTCATTACAAAGAAATCTAATAAATCCGGAATCTTATACTGGTCGGTTGGCCAATACGTTGCTTTTCTTGTGGAAATTATTTCAGCATTGATATTGTTTGCAGCTTTTAATAGAGCGCGTCCTTTTGGGGTGATAAGTCTCGAACCCCAATGAGTATGTTTGGAATTATAGTCTCTTCCAGCTATGAATCTAGCGCCCAAAGTATGGAAAAATTCAGTAAACTTTATTTCATCTGCACCCCTTTGCGGTGGACAGTAAATTGCAGTGACTATGAGGTTTATACCGTCATTTACGACAACGCTGGTAGCTTGAATATGGTACGATTTTAAATTGTTAAAAAAAAAAAAAAAAATGTTCAGGTGACGACACCAGTTTCTTTTGTGACGTGTTATTGGTGGGTTTCTGGGAAGTGTGTAAAGAGTATTTAAAGTACACAGAACAGGACGAACAGTAGAACAGGTATTTAATGTATGAAACTCACGATGGCAAATAAGCTAGTCGGATTTAATTGAAGTTTTGTATAGAAGCATTTGTAAAATAGAATATAACAGTTTCATTGATGAACAGATTTTAAGGTCGGATTTTGGGGATTCACTTGAGACATAAACTAAGGTCTAAGGAGCTTCGGCTGGGGGCGTCGTCTGTTCGAATGATAAGACAAAAAAAAAAAAATAATATGAATATAAGATGGAGCTCTGATGGTAATCACAAGCGAAGACAGATATTATTGTATGTCGAAACCCTGAATGGTTATCCCGCATAAAAAGGTTCTTGGCAGTACCTCCCCCCCCAGACGAGGCAGCAATACCATAGATACTATAATGTAGTTTTAGGTAAAAAAAAATATTTCAATACTAATACGAAACTGTCGACTGATTTAGGTAAAGCATCTTTAATAATAACTAATAAGCAGTGTTTATATTTTTTTTTTATTCGGAAAACAATGTTATACAAAAACCCCGACAATTTAATATTTGAATACTATATATTCATAATAGGTACATCAATCAAAAGTGTCTTATAAGTTTTATGTATTTTTTTTTTGTATAACTTGTTAATATTGTACCCATATTGTTTTTTTTAAATTTTGTTTAGCTGTTAGATATTTTAATTGTTGAGCTACATTTTTTATAAAGGCTAAAAAAAAAAATTTTTATGTAAAACAATTATTATTTCACACGATTATCAATATTGTAAATATTGTGACGTACTACCTAGTTACCTACGCACAACGTGTAAATGTGTAATCGTTGTGTTACACTCGTGTGAAAAATAATTGTTGATTGCATATCTATACATTATTATACCGAAATATTATCCCGCGTAATATTATTGTTATTATTTATTACTACTACTACTACCTACTACTGTCTACTACTACTAATGTTGTTGTTGCCATTATTGTTGTTGTTATGTGTACCTATATCATATACGCGACACCGCCGTCGTGTAGTCGCAGGCCGGCGGGTGGTCGCGGACCGTGACCACTGCGGCCGGCGGGTAGGCTGACGACGACGACGACGACGACACGGAATGACGAGCGCCCCCTCCCCAACCATCCACCATCGTACACGCTCGACGACCCGAACGCGGCCGCCCGCCGACAACACACCATAGGCCTCTTTACCCCGCGCACCGTTCGCCACGTTTAACCCGTCGAAACACGCGGCGCCCCGCGGGGAACGAACTCGTTCGGCGCGGCTCGCGCGCTCTACCGGTGTAACTGCGAACCGGGCGTTAATACAAACAAAGAACGTGTCCAAAGCACGTCCAAGGTGTACGGACTGGAAAATGTGAAATAAAAAAAAAAAAACATATCACCGAAGGGTGTTGTTTACCGTTTAGCAGCAGCTATCGTTTATTTTTTCCGTCAGGCCGGGCGTATGTTGGCGACGTTCGATTAACCGACCGCGTTTGTTCCGTCGTCCGTCTCCGTTGTTCCGGTCCGAGCCGCGAGTGTCGCGTAACCACCGCACCGCACCGACGACGACCGCCGCCACCGTGTGGCCCGACTGGCAGTGCGCGTAAAATGTCCCGCGGCCGCTCAGCGGTTTCACGGCCGTCTTCTGACTGAGTACCGTAACAGCCATTTTGTTTGCGCGTCAACGACAGTTCACCCGATCTCCTAGCACAACGAGGGCGACTCCTCGCGAATCCTACTCGGGTGTCGACACGATCTTGATGTACCACACCGGAAGCGCAATCCTCTACGTCGGGATTACATAACTTTTAGTGAGTACCTACTGCACCGTGGTTGCGCGTGTCGTGTGCGCGCGTGTGTACTCGTGTGGCCGACGGCCGCGGCGCGCGCACACGGCTGAGTTGTCCTTATGGCCATCCGTGGTCGATCTGACGACGGCGGCCACCGTTTACCGTCCCGAAACTTAACGTGCCCCATGCCGCCGCCTGTGGCCACGGGGACGAACGATCTTGAGGGGGGCCCTGGTTTGTCGTCTGCTGCCCCCGTAGTCGGATGGCCTGCCGTTCAATCCTGTCTGGATACTGGTTTAAAATTACCCATGTCTATCGTGTAGAGTATGGTTTCCCTGCCCAGCCGAGGTTTATCGTAATACCTCCCCAGACAGTTGTATCAGATATTTGAAAAAATGTGAAATATCAGAACTACCTACCTATATTTTAGGTGAAATATCTCTAGTGTTTGGCTACTGTCCGGGTTCTATTGGATGCTGTGGCGTTTTATGTCTGGCACCAATTGTGGAATGTGTTTTTTACGATCAGTGAACGAAATACGTAGGTAGTTTTTATCAATTGAATATTCAAATAATTTATAGGTAGGTGGGTCAGTAGTGATTAGAGAAAAGGCTAAAGCTAAAGAACAAGACTTACATACCTATAATAATGGGAAGTGATTAAATTAATTTGAATATACCACAGCTACTCATTTGTTGTTTCTAACTAAAAAGTGGTGTGCACTTGATACTTTTTATTTTAATTTAAATACAATTTAGTCAAGTACCTATTTAGTATTTACTTTATGACATTTTTGTACCAGTACCAGGTACTTATATTTTAACAATATCTCCTTAAAATAAAAATAAAAACTGTGATTGCCTGAAGCAGGACTAGGTTATTATGTTAGGTATTTAGCAGTGATTTTTAATGTAATTGTTTTTACTTAAATATTATGTATTATAATTGGGTAGCCTATTAATATGTTTATATGATGTCATTATAATGGTAAAAAATTAATGAATAAGTACTCAATTTCCTATGGAAAATGTCAACTAATTTATTTTCAAAATATTACTAAAAATACAAGAACATAATATCAGTGAATCTAAATCTATTATAACTCCAACATTTTAGGTAGGTACCTAAAAAACTATTTCAGTTATCATTTAATTTTTATTCATTAAATTATCTTACAAAAGATTACTATTATAATTGTTAAAAATAAAAACCTAGGAAAACAATAGATAACATCATATTATATTTTTTGTTGATGTATTTATATAGGTACTATATATTCACAGATTTAGGGAACACTTAATTTGATTGGTAAGAACATGTTGATGTTGAATTAAATCAGAAATTAAGACTTGAGTGTATCTACCTACCTAAATACTCATTGATAGGAATATTTAAAATTTTTAACAAACATTATGAACTATGCAATGAATCTTGTATTTTTTTGAATAGGCTTATTTTTTCTATTCATTTTGACTTCATATAATTACTATTTATTTTTTTTTTTAATTGTTTATGGCATCAACTACGAGGTTATTAGCCGGAGGTACTGTAGGGTTTGGAACACGTGTGCTTGTTTTGGCAGAATTTCGAATGGGGCACCATATAATTATTGTCTCTACTAATTATTGAAAATCAAAAATGTGAGATAGGTACTTCAAATTATTATTATTACTTAATAATTCAATTTTTGTAATTATAATATTTTGATAACATTTTAATGCGTACTATAGATATTTGTTATTAAACTATTGAAGTAAAATAATAGGTCTTAAGTAGAACATTTTCCAAAATAAAAAATTAACCTTCTCCATAACTTAAAACATTATAATACAAACTATGATGAATGGATTAAATCTGGGTAAAAAAATTAAATATTCTCTTACATCTGTGTACCTATTCATACTTTGAATATTAATATGAAATAACAATACCGTCTATTGAATTGTATATTATTTGTTTTTAACATTTTTAAATGTTAATTATAAAATAATAATGGAACTAGCAGTCATAGACATAAATAAAAATATTTAAAAAATATGTATTGATTGCCTTAATCAATTATGTAGGTACCTGCTAAATGATTAATTTTCAGGTTTTTTCAGTATTTTCATTCTTTTTTCACCTGGTTTTATGGTTCCTATAACTATAAAAATATTGAAATTTTTTAATAGCTTGGTAATTGTAGGCCATTACGTTATCAAAGATTTATAATATAATATAAGCTATCCAAATATATGTATTTATATATTTTTTATTAAGTAGTTAGTGTAATTTCTATAAACTAGAACATGGTTTGGCCATTGTACAATTGGGTATGATGTATATCTACGTAGACTATTCAATAATAGTAGGAAGTTATTACAAGTTATTAGCATACCTAAATAAATACTCTAAAAATTAATAATTAACATGTTATTAGTTCATAATTATATATTTTTATTATTCAAAATAATTTTTCTATTTTAAGTAGGTATTTAAATTTTTTATACCTACTAATTCTATTCAATTTTTAAAAACAATTAATTTTGTTTTTTTTTTTGTCTTAACTTTTAATCTAGCTTTTAATATACTTTATAGAAGGTACTATGGCTATTCGTTTCTACAAATAAAGCTATTAATTTTTTGAAATACGGTTGAAGTTAATATTAGTTGCAACTAGCAGATCTAGATTCAAATGATTGGATATGTTTAAATGTACCTATATTTTAATTTTTACTCGAACCTACTTAACTATGTTTTAAACCTTGGAGGAGGGTGTGAGGGTGCTAACTAAATATATTTTATCCCTACCACATTTGATCGACTACCATAGGTACTTAATCCATGATTTAAATAGGTAGTTAAGTGTTTATATAACACTATAACGATCATCTAATGCAGGAGCACCTCTCTTCAGGCAGTATTGTACATATTATATAATTATAACCAAAAACCTAACTTGGATATAATCTTGTAGACATTGAACTTGTGAATACTTCCATATATCTAGTATTTCTAGTTCCTACATAGATAATTGTTGACAACAATTATCGATCATCTATTTATGTAAGGAAATATTGTTTGTTTTATATATTTTAGGGAGATTTCTCAAATGTACCTACCTAAATTGTATAATTGAAATAAATAAAGATAATTAAATATGATATATACTCAGGTTGCCTAATTTTAATGTTATGATTCTAGGAAAGGATAAAATGGTGTTAGTGGTCGGGGCTCGCGGTCCTGGGCACGGATGGCGGCCCCAATGAGAGAGGAGCTGGGAGGGGCGGTGGCGGCGTCCACAGATAGTGTTGGAAGTGGCAATGGCAACAACAATAATACCAGCAGTAATGCAAATTTTGAGTACGACGATAATGAATGGGATATTGGTATAGGCGATTTAATTATCGACTTAGACGCAGATATTGAAAAAACAGGATCAACATCTACAACTACAGCTAGTGAAGCCCTTGGTGTTACCAATAGTGCGGCTACAACAGTCGGTTTAACGGCTGGTAGTGGAGCCATGTCAGGAGCAGCTGCCACTGCACCCACAGCCACTACAGCTGGCAGCAATAAAGCTACTGTTGAGCATTCAGCTACTGTTGATAAAGGATTAAAAATGAAAATCAAACGAACAAAAACAGGGACTAAGAGCTTTGAAGCTAAACATGAAATCGTCAAGCCTGGCGAGCAAAATGGATCTTTAGCTTCCACTCAATCTCAGTCAAGTGGCAGTGCCTCTTCAAATGACTCATCTGGATCGTCCGCTGAGTCTAAACAAACTGGTATATATATTTTTAATTAGTTAAAGAAGAATAAAAGTAATTTGGAATTATATTTTTGTTAAGGTAAACATCCCAGCACATCTAGTACCAATTGTACTACTCCTTCAACCAGTACTACTTCAACTGTAAGTTCAGTAAAACGTGGATCTAGCAGTCATCGAAGAGATAAAACAAAAGACAAACAACATAGTTCATCTACAAGTGGTGATAAGTGTCATAAAGTAAATTCTAGTTTGTCTTCTGAACTTAATGGTCGAGGTCCTGTTAGTCAATCAGCTCCTAGAACCAGCACTTTCCCAGCTTTATCAAGCAATACACAGTCACCTAATGTACCTGGTCCTGGACCACCAGTTGGAGAAGCAGGAACTTCAACTTCTTCAAGTGTAGCCAATGGTCCGGAACAAATTGTATCACCCCCTGTAGTTCCAATGGAAAATACCCAAGCTACTTCAAAGTCTTCTGCGGTATTGTCTACCTTATCAAAACCTCTGCAATCTACCTCACCACCCCCAACCAACAAAGTAAAGACTGCTAATAGTTCAACTTCTGCTTCCCTAACAGAGCAAAAGGTATATAAATATATATAATATTTATATATATACTTATATATTATAAAATTTGTTATCTTGAGTGTTTGTATAGATAAAAATATTTATAAATTTGATAACCCTAGTTATCAATATATGAACAAAATTAAATAATTAAAATTGTAAGTTCAGCTAATTTTATCCTGATTAACATTAACAAAGTATTTAACTTATCTTTTATTGAACTTTATTCAACAGTTTATATTTGTTTAAGTTGGCATAGATATATTGTTTGATATTCAAACAGACAAATTTCTATATTTAAATTAAATTATAATATTGTTTCACTATTTTCTAATATGTATTACTTATTAGTTATTTTACATTTCCAGGAAACTGCTGATGCCTGTGTTGGTACTAGCATCAGTGTTGGAACTGTTACAGAACCAGATTGTTTTGGGCCATGTGAACCAGGAACACATGTTAATTTAGAGGGAATTGTATGGAACGAAATTGAAGGTAAATAGAAAAATAAAATAAATGTACATGAATTGTTTCCTTAGCAATACACAAATTAAATTATAGAGATACTTATTTCCTTTTAGTTCTAAAACAAAATACATATATATTTATGTTTTATTAATTAATAATTATAGGTGTGCTTGTTGTTAATGTAACATGGAGAGGAAAAACTTATATAGGTACATTATTAGACTGTACTAGACACGATTGGGCTCCACCTAGGTAATTACAAAATTAATGATTTTTCCATTTTGGTCTTACTTTATATTTTTGTTGAACTAATAATACTGAATGTTAATTTTAATTTATTTTAGGTTTTCTGAGGCATCCGCTGGAGAACCAGAATGTCGTTTACCTCAAAAAGGACGTGGAAAAAGAGGTCGTGCTAGTTTAACCGCTAGCCCCAGTAATGATTTGGTAAATTTTACTGAAACCAGATCTTCAGTTCACAGTAAACTTCGAAGTAATGGAACAAATAAATGTAATAGCAGTAATAACTCAAGTAGAAGAGGAACATCATCACCCACTCCTTCTTCATTTGTTCCACCACGTTCAGATGCTAACAGCTCGAATAAGAGGAAAAAGCCTCCTGGTTCTGAAGATGAAGCATCAGGAAAAAAAATAAAAGCAGAGCCAGCAAGTCCACCACCTATGTCACCTACTATGTTAGATTGCCCTGAACCAAACTGTTCTAAAAAGTATAAAAATGCTAATGGTTTAAGATATCATCAATCTCATGCACATGGTGCTGCTTTGGACGATGAAGATGCTGACACTAAAGAATCTGGTGGTGCAAGCACTTCTGAAAATGAAGATGATACTAGTCCTGTTTCTGTTAGTAATTCTGGTATTCAAGATAATCTAAAAGAAGAACAGCCTATTGTCATTAATCAACCAACTGAACAACCACAGCTTTCGACAACTCCTCCAGTAACTGAAGTGGATCCTCCAGCTCCAATACAGTCTCCTCCTCTTTTAGTTACAAAACCAAGTGTTCTAAGGTTTGGCATCTCTGGGAATGAAGAGACTAACGTTGTTACCCCTACATTGACTGCACCTAAAACAGTTCTATCAGTTCCTGTTGTTCAGCCGGCTCCTACTCCACCACCACTGCTACAGCCAGCAACTCCTTTGCAAGCAATTGCTCCTACTTCTCAATCGCCACAACCCCAACCACCAATTTTACATGTACAAAGTCCAGCATCACAACAGTTACCTACACCTCCACAAATTCAACCTTTAGCACTAAATCAGCCGCAAGTTCAAAAAGTACCGCAATTCAAAGTAAAGCCAGCATCTGCTTTAATGCCCGCTGAAGATAATTTGAAAGCCAATAAAGATATTAAAAACAAAGCAGCAACATCATCTCATAAAAAGAAAAATCGTAAATCACCAGCTAGTAGTCCCAGACCATTTTCTATTGATCAACCACAGTTTGATAGCTCAAACTGTAGCCGTGAGGATGTACAAAGTCCTGCATATTCTGATATATCAGATGATACAGCACCAATTCTTGAAGTTGAGATGAATGATAGTATGAATAAACAAAAATTATCCACTACCGATAAAAAGTCAGAACCAAACACAGCACATTCTCCTCATCCTATCCAACCATATAATATGTACCCGTCATATTATGGTCAACCGCCTTATTTGATTTCTTCTGTACAACCGAATGACACATCTAAACAAATTAAAGAAGGTGAAAAGATTAATCAACATTCACAAGATTTAAAAATGTCGTCTTCAACTGGAGATAAAGATAATAAGAAAGATTTACAATCAAATCAAGCAGCTGAATATCAGCAACAAAAGCTTTTACAACAATATTTTAATTATGATTCCTATGTTCAAAATTATCCTTATAATATTGGAGCAGGTTATCCAATGTCTATGGTACAAGATAAAGAAATGAAGCCTGATGATAAAAATCATCAACCTTCAATGCCAGGTACTTTGAATGTTCCTCAGCCTAATAAAATAAAAACTGATCAAATAGTACCCAAAGAAAAACCTCCCCATCAGAACGAAAATCATCAAATTATGAAAGAAAGCATTGAAATGAAGTCACAAATGAATTCAGCTTATATGTTTTCACGGCAACAGCAGCAGCAGCAGCAGCAGCAACAACAACAACAACAACAACAACAGCAGCAACAACAGCAGCAACAACAACAGCAGCAACAACAACAACAACAACAACAGCAGCAGCAACAAGATGATGTTAGGCGTTATTATGTATATCCAGATCAGAGACGGAAGGATCACGGTTCTGTTGATCATTCACATACCAAGTCAAATACACTAAGTACACCAACTAAGCATTCTATGGGCACAAACTCTATACACAAGCATAAAGAAAAACACGAAGACAAAAAAGATGATAAAATGTGTAAAAGTTCTTCTCATATGTCAGAAGGAGTTAAACCGACAATGGAAACACAAGGACCACCTCCACCTCCTACGTCTTCATATGCATATATACATCCAGGTTTTATGCAGTCACCGCATTTCGCTGGTGCATTGGCATTTGATCCCATGTACAGGAGTGCAATGAATCCTATGTTGGTGCCCGGACCTTATGGCAATACACCACCACCCCCTTATTTACATCCTCAGCTACATGCTCAAATGCAACGATACCATGCACCTGAAGATCTCTCACGACCAGCTGTTTCTACACAGTCGGCAACTCCTTCCCAACCACCATCTGGGCCTAAGGCGGCTCTTGATCTCCTACAACATCATGCTAGTCAATATTACTCTTCACATAAGATACATGAGTTACAAGAACGTGCCATTAAGTCGCCTACACCAAAACCGAATGCACAATCGGGCCTAACGCCAGCTCCATCACCAGGAACTAGGCAATCTCCATCTTTAACGTCAACTGGCATAGTACCATCTGCCACTGAACGAACTACGTCTACTGGTCCTCCTTCGTCTACCCAATCTTCTGGTAAATCTGGGTCAACTGGTGATCCAAAAGACTGCCGTTCACCACCTCCTCAAAGGCATGTACATACACATCATCATACACACGTAGGTCTTGGATATCCATTATATCCAGCGCCTTACACGGGCAAGCCTTTATAATAATTGTGTGTAATTGATGTCCCAACGTTACTGTTCATCAATAAACATTTTTTTTATTGTATTGGAGTTTATTGCGGGACATAAATTGACTCAATTAATACACTTTTATTTTAACTCTTATTAAGATAATGCTTAACTATCTTAAGCTATAATCTTATTTGAGAATTTTTTCTATTTTAAAGCTACTGTTTAAATCACTTTTGCCTAATTTATTAAGTCTATGGTTTTTTATTGGCCAGACTTTCTTCTGTTCCAGTGTTAAGAAACAAAATGTTTTGCATTAGATAGAAGCATTTAATAACAATTGTTAATTGTTGTTGATATAATTATCAAGCATATATAACAATGTGTGCTTCCTTATAGGTTTAAGGTTTACTTTAGATACAGGAATGCCATTAAACAGTAGCGTCCTTCTATAAATTCATATTTGACACTAACTAAATGTTTTTACTATCAATTAAAATATGGTAATAAAAATAAATACTACAGCAATATTTGTTAGTAGTTATTCCATACATAACAATTTACACAATTTATGTAAAGTATGTTTTTGTATGGGCGAGTCTGATCAAAGCTAATACAGGTTTACCTTAGTTCCATTGGCTAATCATAATTTAATTTTATTACTATTATTTTTATTATATACTATTATAAATATTATTTTTATTTTTATAACTAATTATTATTATTTTTGTAATATTTTAATTAAAATTAAAAATTGACGGGTTCTTCGTATAATTTTGGAGTGGTCATTATATATCTAATTAGCCTTAGGGAATAAAATAATTAATATTATTTGATTGGTATATTTAAATTGTATTTTATTAATTTCTTCTACCTTAAAATTGGATTTTTTTCAGCAGTTTTCCAATAAATTTGTTTCACTTAATTCAAAGGCTGTGATTTCGAATCGAGGCGAAAGATTTGGTTTTTAAGTCTTTAGGTGTACACATTCTTAGACAACATACAATTTTTTTTTTTTTTTTGTAAATTTTTATGTAATTATGTACAAATGTCAAAAATGTATTCATTTAATTTGTATTAGTTTTATATTAATTTTAATTATTTAAAAAAGGTACATATATTTCATATATTACATAAATTGCCCAATTGTACATAAATAAGATGTGGAGAAAAATCACACTGTGAATATGCTAGGCTTTTTCTAGGCAATCTTTATTAATGATGATATTTTATTTATTATGACTACATATATTAAATGTAAATATTTTATGTGGGATTTTTTGTACTATAGTTGGAAAATATATTTTAGTATTTTTTGATTATTAGGTGAATAAATTTATATTATTATTATTGTACACTTAATATATAGAAACCTAACTAGTATATTTTTTTTTAATTACTTATTATTAAAGACTACAACAATGTTGTTTTTTTGTCTGTTGATGATAAAAGACTGCACATTGAAAAGTAAAAAAATTGATATTAGAAATGACTTAAATTATTTTGTTTAGTATTTACCTAAATTGTGTTATCCATAAATCTATAAAATTATATTTATTGACTGTAATTACTAATTAGTTATTGAAATTTAAAACATGTCCTTATTTATTCATGTTCAAATTCGGTTTTTTAAAATTTATAGTTACCTATCACTTATCATATATTATTATCCAACATAACATTTTAATATGTTTTTCTTATTTAAGAAATAATGATAATTTGGCTCTAAAATGTAGTTATAATTCTTCAAATTGTCTTAGAATGTCATATCCTCAATTAGAAAAGATCCAATGAAATTCTAAGTATTCAAAAATTGTGCTTAAAATGTATAATAGTTGCCTTATGTGTTATTTGCCTGTAGCTTTTTAAGCATTACCATAGGAATTCCTAATTCATCAAACTTAAAATTTGCAATACATTTTTTAAAACGTTCAATTAGATGGATCAAATTATAAAAATAATTTTCCTTGTTTTAATATATATATTATTTATTTTATCGATACAAATACCAAAATAAATTTGACTGTAAAACTGACAGAAAATATTTTGAAAATAAACATTTGGTGCACTTTTTAAAACTGTATAACCTAATCCTCAACTAACAATACAAACAATACTTAAAATTTTTATTGCAGATAACCAAATAAGTTAAAATAACCATAACATGTTAAAAACAAATGCAATTGACAAAACTTGAATCGCTTGTTGTAGAGCTAAATTGGTTTAAGCGCCGAATATCGCACCATCAATTTTATGCTTGAACTAACTGGAAGTCCAAATTTGATCAAGCCTATCCTCAATATGTAAACATCAAATATAAATCTATAAAAACATTTGGACTAGTCTTTGGTGGCAAGTATATGCCAGAATATCAGTCTCGGAAATGAAAACAAACACCTATTGTTGGTATACAAACTACGTATACATTTATTTAAGTAATTTAAATTTTCAATGTCAATGTACATGCATCAGTCACGCAAGAGTGAGAATGGTGACACGTAAAATAATTACAGCATTGGTCTTAAACATTGAGTAATATCATCTATCTTCAAAATAGTAGGTGTATTCGATTCGAGTGTTAGAACCATATGCTTTTCAACTTGGATAATTTTTCGCTATCGAACCAAACTGCTGTTATAAAATGTATTACATGGTTCACTAAAATGACATGTATATTTTATAAAATAATACAATTCAAAACCAATTGTTTTTTTAATAGATAGTTGTTTTGTTATTGATAATATCGTTTTAACGTCAGACAGATGGTGTTGGTTTTAGCTCCATTTTTTTGTTACGTAATAATCACTTATAATTCATTATCAAATGTTGGTTTATTCAGTTGAATTGGATTAAATTTACTTAGACGGTACTCGCACAACTAGTAAGAAATGAATGCTATCACAAACATTTGTAACTAAAAATTTAAATGCCTCTATATCCATCCAAAATGCTGCCTTCATTGGTACAGTAAAAACATTATATTTATTTAATATTATGATTGTTAAGTAAGGATGCTACTATTTAATTTCATAATTCTGTTTATCAATTGAAAATCAGGTTTTTTATTGTAAAAAGTAACAGCTACATATAACTGAAATACTGTTTTTTAAGCACAAATTAACAACTAAACTTGTTAGAATTGATAAGTTCAAGTGAATTTTCAATATTTTTTCTAGTCATTACTCATTAGCTAGTTCTAAGGTTGAATAATAGATTATGTATCCAGTTTTATTTCCGTTCTAAGTAATTTCTTTTACATGTGGCGTTGGTAAATAACCTTCCTACTGCACCTTTATTTATTGGGACATTCAACTGCAGATTTAAAAATATGCCTAACAACTTTTTTAAAATTATTATTACAATATAAATTTAAAAAAAAAAAACAAAAATTATAACCAAAATAGAAAATCACAACATATTTATTAAAATTATAATTTTAGTTACAGAATAATCATTTTTAAATACAATAACTTTTTACTTTAACAGATATGATTAGGAAAATGGAGCATGAATTTTCTATAAAATGTATATTTGCACAATCTATTTCAAGAATAATTTAAAGTAGTGAGTTTTGTATTGAATTTGGATTGATTCAAAAATTATTTCTCCTCTCTACTCAGTATTTAATAAAAAAAGAGTAGTCCAATTCCAATAAAATTAAATCAGCCTTGTGGTTTAATTTAGAACCGAGTTCGCAGTTTACAGTTCATCTTTGCCATCTTTGGGATTTCCAGACCTATCAAATCCATGGAGTTCATCTGTTGCCTTAGATGCTATGTACTTGATAAAATCGTTTACATCTCGGCCTCCCTAATATCATTAATAAATAAAACATATTAACCAAATGTTATTGCATAGTGAAGACTGAAGAATGAAGATGGATCAATTAAATAAATACCTCGTAACGAATAGGCTTGTTTTTGCTATCTTTGGGCAACCAATATAAGGTTGGGAATCCACGAACATCAAAAGTGGAAGGAACATCATTAGCAGTTGCGTCCATTTTTACCAAAGACACAGCTTCATCTTTTAACTAAAACAAATTTGGTACAGTTAACCAACAAAGGTACACAAATATTATACAACTGTTGACTTTTTCAAGATCAATGAAAAAGTACATTATTATCCTTTAAAAAAGCAAACAGGAATGGGATGTGCAGATAATAATACAGTAAATACCAATTTGAATTAGCATTAATTAATGATGATATAAGGATACTACCTACACTATTTTTCATACAAGAATATCTTTGAGCAGTTTGGTCAGATTAATTAATTTACTTCTTTCGCTTTTAAATCAACAATAAGTCCAGCCAAAAAATTGCTTTAAAAAACTTGTTAATATTAATAAAATGGAAACAAGGTTATTATTGGAAGAATAGATTGCACAGCACTCTTCATACTATAGTTCCCATATGCAGAAGCACAGCACCCCAAAGTACTCTTTAATGAGATGGAGTTTATATGTCTTATTCAAATCACAAACTGACAGCATACATTTGTTTGAGTTTAATCTTTGTAAAGGTAACAAGAAGAACACATATATTGTTAATATTATAAAATCATAACTACCTTTTCAGCAACTTGTTCATAGACTGGAGCTAAACTTTTACAATGGCCACACCATGGAGCATAGAATTCTACTAATGTGTCAACTCCATTGTTAATAACTAAATCATCAAAGTTTTTGGCAACAGCTACTTTTACTGGTGTAGTGTTATCTTCTGGAATTGACTCAGATTTAATGTATGGTTCTAAGTTACCGTCTTGAAAGTCATTTACAAACTTTTCTAGATTTTCAACTCTACATATAAATTTAAAAACACAATATTATTTTTACTCAACTTAATCAAATCAAAGTTAACATATATAATGGTTGATTTTAAAAAAATACTATAGTATATTCTACACTATCAGAAAATCCATTGAAACAAATAAATTAAGTATAAAATTGTTTTTCTCAATTTGCTTAAAATAAAACACAAAATAAAATAAGAAAATTTGAGTGATTTAATTAACTTTAGATTGAAATTATTTATCCATTTGTTTATTAAATGCTTATTTTCTACAGTGGTATAAACATGTTAACATGTCTTAAATACTTAAGCGTAGAATACACCTTTTACATGTATAAACTGTATATGTTTCAGTTTTCTAATTAAATAATAACAAAAAAAAAAAAAACAACTTAAAACTCAGTTAACTACTAAGTATTTCTGTAGTACAAATATACTTACGAGAATTCATCCTTCATTATGTATTTCTTGTTGTCCAGAGAACGTGCCAAGACTATAGGCTTGTCATCTGATACAAATTCTAATCCATACTCATTAATTTCGTGTTGGAAATCATCTTTGTTGTTTATAGCTAATGTCACATCTTTTACAGATTTGGCAACTTTCAATACTCTATTACGCCAGTAGTTTGTTCCTTTTGGGTTTTTAACATAATCAACAGCATAATAAACTCCAACATAAGGGGGTTTGAAAGCTTCCATGTTTTCCTTTTGGCGGTAACCAACCAAACCATGACTACAAGCATTAAATAAATAAGTTACAAATTGTATTTCATTGAATATATTTTTTAGATATTATTATTAAAAAATTAATGAGTTTTAACACTTACTAATTAGATGTAATCCAAGACTCAAGAGCAGATGTTGATTCTTCTCCATCATAAACAACAAAATCTGGTTCGAATTTGTTACTTAAATGCTTAGGTCTATAGAGCACAACATTGTTCCTGAATAAAAAAAGGATAATAGAATCAAAACATTTGAAATAATGGATTTATTTATTACATAAAAACTAACTAATAAGAACCCTCCCAAAAAAACTTATAGTTAAAGTGATATAATCATCCAAATACTTTAATCAAGAAGCTTTTTTTTCCAAAATAAAGGCATCTGCAAATAAACTGGAGTAGGGACCTCTTTTCCATGTTAAGAGTATCCACCTAAAAGAACACTTTTCCCTCTCCCGTGCTGCTGTTACTTTTAAAATGTAAACTAATTTGTTTATTGCAATATTTATTAATTTATCAAATACCTACTTAGTGTACATAAATATAAATAAAAAATATTTTTTTTTTAATTAAGATATACCGAGCACTTCACTTAATTAATTATTTCTGAGAAATAGTTACCACTTACTTGTAGTTATATTTTTCAATTACTGACTGTGAAGTGGTATGACCAAAGTTTACTTTTTCTCGTAATTTGTTTGCAAGTTGAACAAATTTGCCCTTGAGATCAGTTTCTGTTTCAAAGAACCCAACAACTACCACGTCATCTTTAGATAAGAAGTTCTTAATAATGTCTTCTGAAGATAAATCTTTTGAACTTGGTCCGACTTGTGATTTCATGTACTTGACAATGCCAGCTAACCATACAATCAATAAATATTATAAATTTTAGTACAATACACAATTTAATTATTATGTACCTGCATCACGGGGTCCATTGTATTCTTTAGAAACTTCACCATTTCGGAAAATTTTTATGGTTGGGTATCCAGAGACACCAAATTTATTACATACTTCTTTCCCAGCTTCTGTACAATCCACCTTTAAACAATTTAAGTAAAATTAAATTTTAAATACAATACAAGAGTTACATTAGTATACCAAAAACTTAATGTATTATTTTTATCAAATTTAAAAAAACTATAGATACTTAGAAAATACTTACAATCAAATTGATTAAAGCTAAATAAAAAAAATTGAATTTTTAAAAATTATATTTTTTCCAAAAACCTTTGGTCTAAACAAAAATCTTAATGTTATAAAACTATGGATAATTCTACTTAAATATATGATCTCGATGAATGATGATAGTTATCCAAATAAAATTACTAAAGAATATTATAAAATGTTTAATTTCTAAAAATACATGTACCTATAACAAAATATAAAATTAATAATAATGAATAATTCGGATTAAGTTGCAGTAATAATGAAACTGATTTAGGTATATCATTAAATATTCATTTTAATTTTAATTTAAATCAAAATATTTTATCTTCAAAAAATGCCTAACTCAAGTTAATTTAGTTTAGGGCAATTTTGTATTTGTTTATTATATATATTTTCTATATTCTTTTTAAGTTACTATCAATCATTGTTAATAGGTTAATAATGTATGTATTTATATATATTCAGAATATGTAATATTTTAAAAATGTTATATTTTTTATACATAATGATAAGAACTCTCACTTGCATCACAAGCATAGTTAAAGGAGGCGAGCAAATTTATTGTGCTAAATATGTATCTAATATATCCAATGATAAATGTGCACATAAATAAATAAAATTAATTAAGTATATTGTGTTGCTTTGAATAATGATTAAAGACAAGGTGTTGCAACTACTTTTGTCTGTGAGTCCATTAGATTAACAAATACCAGGTAGAATATTCATTCTTTCAGCTCTGGCGGACAGAATAAATACTCTGTGCTCTACAATAAAATTTATAAAATATAAATGAAATCAATAACTTCACTAAAATTGTATAGCTTAAGGTAACTGTTCCTATAGAATATACAGAGTGTTTTTTTAAATATACTCATCACTATTTTTGCCTTTAATAGTATATTTATTCAAATTCTAATTTTTAGAATTTTTAAATAGACCTAAAGACCATATTTACAAATTTCTGATATTTTTTGTACTATTTGAGGAATATCCTGTGGCATTACAAACTTCTATTTCCCAAATGAAATCCCTCTTTAAATACTGAAACAGATGATTTATTTGAAAATGTTGATGTATCTAAATCAAAACTTTAATGAGTAGTTCCAAGCTAATAAAGTTATAATAATCTTTAAGCATATTAAAAAATTCTAAAAATCTGATTTTTAATATATGCATAGGTAATCTTAGCATATAAATAGGTTGAGCATGTACAAATCACATTATTTATCATTGTTGCAATTTGGTAATACTTATACATTTAATAACGACAAGGGTATTAAACAAATTCCAACACTCAGGTAGACCATTAGTCTCGCACATAAGCGGCATCAGTCGGCACATCCTCACCTAACCACACTACACCAATGAAAAATTACCTTAGCTAATGTTACAGGAGGATCTTCTTTCAGCAAAGTCTTTGCCGCTTTTTCAAATTCGGGTTTCAATTTCTTACAATGTCCGCACCTAGATTAACAGAAAATAGAAATGAATCATACGTTTCCTAAGTACTGGAATTATATACACGTACCACGGGGCATAGAACATGACCAAAGACGTGTCATATTCGGCCACCGACGAGTCGAAATCAGAGTCTGATAGATCGACAACAGAGTCGGCGAGTACGGAGCTCAAGAGGAACCCGGAGAACACGATTAATCCACTCATCAACTTCATGGTGGTTGGACGCAACGAAATGGAAAAAAAAAATGAACGGGAAAAAATTCCAACACAACGAAGCTATAACCGTTGCAACTGCGGAAGCCAATCTCTCGGCACCGGAGATTCGAACGGGTTGAGCCTTAAACAACGAAAAAGATCCGCCGGTATTTATACAGTGGTCGTATGCACTTGTTCGTAAATCACAATCGCGTATTTGTATATCCAAAGTACTACGTGTTTCGTGTACCGTATTGTACTTGGCGGTTTCTAATTGGCCGATTCCGTATACAGACGTGGTTGGTCACACTAGTCGAACACGTACTGCCCGGTACAGGTGGCGACAGTGCGACCGATCACTTATCTCATGAAACCTAAATGCTACAATATTTATTAAAATCTGGTATTCAGGAGTCCGGTCAATTACGATTTACGGTCATCCCATAATTTGGATTACCGGGATTCCGGCACAAGTGCCGAATGCAAGTTTTGTTTTCTAATAGATCACCGGTAGAAGCAGGAAAGAAATAAGAATTAGTAATTACAATGCAGTATGGACCACAAATATATGATAGTTGTATTATATATCTGTGGTATGGACATATTTTAAATTTTAATATGGACAATAGGACATTTCACCCTCTCCGTTTTCTCGTATTATTAATATAGGACATTTGGCCCCCAGCCGCCCCAGGAGTTAAAATGGTTTTATTCACCTATAGGACTTTTGGTCCCCTCGGTATTTTAAATCACTTTTTTTACTTACAGTTTTAATTTTTTTTTTTTAAGTGGCGGAAAATTGGTATGGTCGTTTTGAACGTGGGATATTGGTATGGTTGTGAAAAACCAAGGTTTCTAAAACTGTAAAAAAAAAACAATCGCCAAGTATCTACGTGTTAAAGTTAGATAATTAAAGCATGAGTGCATGACATTTGAAGGATCTACAACTAATCTACAACGAAAAGTGACAATGTTTATAATGACCAATAAGGAATAAATGAGAGGAACTATAGGGCACACATCTAAATTTTTCAGATTTCAATCCACTTACCCCCGATTGTCCGATAAGTGGTTGCCGTTTTTGCAACCACGCATTACCACCACATTCGACTCCTCAATATAATAATCATGACAATTAATGATTTTTAATTTATCCAGGCCAATCAAAATGAAAAAAAAATTGTCCATGTTGGGTTTATCTTTCGATCCTGGTGATAAAACAGAAGAAATCAACGATATACTCTTACTGAAGACTGCAAACTTTCAAGATTCGTAACGATAAGTCGATAAATACATAGACATAGGTCATAGGTACCCTATACACTTGACAATCTGAATAAAAATGAATAATAATTTTAAAATGTTTCTCCACTTATGATTTTAAGGGCTGCATAACACCTATGAGTAAAAACAGTTTTTGAGTAATTAAATTATTCATATCAGTAATACCAGTAAGGTATGCAAAATAGTTTGACATAAAAAGGAATTAGTATGTTATATGTATCTTCAATTATTTTACCAGAAAAACCATTCAAAAACCGTGGTCCTACAACACAATCAACACATAATATCATGATTTTCTCTAATTATCGGTAAAACGAGTATCAACTCAAATAAACGATCCAACTGTATATACTTTGCTTATTTTGTATAATATAAAACTTTATAAGCTGATGAACAATAATAAGTCACTTCGTACATTCGTATTTCGTTCGTGGTACATCTGGTGACAAGGCACTATTTTATGATCTCATACCGGCCTTAAGATTAGGATATATTTTTGGTGAAGATAGTATGGCAAAAATAAAACGCAGTGAAGACATATGTTTCCCGCTAAGGAACATAGGGACAGAGTATTGAATGTTACTCGAAAAAAAAAATATAATTATATGATGTTTTTTTGGTGTATTTATTGTTTATTTGATTACTTGTTTTTGAGACGACTTATTAGCAGTTCTCGCATTTTTTTCTACGTTCTGTGATTATGTCGTGTTCAAAATTGTGTCTAAGACTACAAGTTAAACGTTAAACCTAATTGGCTTGCAAATACTCTCCTTCATCGTCTTGCATAATTTTTCCATTGAATTCCCTTTTTTTTTTTTACTAAGTCATTGAACTGTTAATTTTAAATGAAAATAATAGTAACACACCATAAATTAGAATAAAAAAACATGATTTAGACATAGATTTTTATATAGAATAAATTTAAATTACATTTGTTTATTAAATTATTTCAACAACAGACTATTATTTTTCAGTGCAACCAAAATGTAGAAGTCAGTATTTTTATTATTTGAAAATAAAATAATAATTATAATAATAAAATTAATTACCACCTAATTGCTACTAAATGTAATAACTGCTGTGATTGAAAATATACAATATTTTTATTGAATTGTACTATGATACTTACATAAATAATTTTAGAAGTATTATTTTGAGTACAACATTTTTTTTATTGAAATTGTACATACTAACATGTTTTTAAATTTATTTCTCATCAATTTTATTGTTTGTCTAAATTTACTAAGTAAATTTTACTTAGTAAAATAATATCAACCTTAAACCATATAGTGTATATGGTCGAAGGTATTTATAATATTTTTACTTAATATACCCATACACAAGTTATTATTACTGTATGAAGTGTTGTTGTCAATGATGAGATAAAAAATGATCTTAAATATTATATTACTCGCCCCCCAAATATACCAGGCTTATAACCATAGTAGTTGAAGCCTTAATTCTAATATTAAAAAAAATTAAGTAGTAATATGTACCTATTTCTATTAATAGAATATTAGTGATGGCAAGGACGAGTTCTATGATGCTGAGTCTGGAAGTGATACCTATAATATGGTAGATATTTTTAATTAAAAAATAATAAGTAGGTACTCAGTTTTATCTTCGGGTATGTATTGTATTTTTATCAGAAATTCTTTGTCTGATGTAATCAGATGTTTAGGATTACATCTTTGAATTATTATTCTGTGACAATATACCCAAAACAGTTATGAAGTATGATGATTAAGATCACTGATATAATGATATTAGGTTCCTACAAAGTGCAAAGTATACAGCTTGGAATTCTTATACATTTTTACAGGTAAAGTTATTTTGCCAGAATTTTAATTTATTGTTTACTATTTTTGTATTATTTTTGTAGGACAAGTTACAATTATAATTAAATAAAAGTTTGATTTTTTGTATTATAATTTTTAGGTGCCGAAAAATGTAGAATATTAAGTTATAAAATTGTATCATTCGATAAGGGTGAAAAGAAAGAAGAATTCTTATATTTAAATTCACGCGGTAATTGTATTGTTATCATCAGTATGGTTATCACACGTGTGAAAGAATTGCATTTGTGGTAGCTCGGTAACAACAACGACACAGACCCAGTTCTACTAAAGTTTAACCATCGTTCCCCTTCAACAAACCGCCGTTAAGAACATCCGAAATTCATTTTTCTATGGTAGACATCTCTCCCCACCACTTTCTCAACAAAGAATAGAAGCTGCTGCTGAAAAGAGAAACATGACCGTTATTGCGCATCGCCGTGTGCGCCGGAGAATTTAATTTTTAACGGAAAACCATACGTTACATTGCTTATCGTAATATTTAAATGTTATTTTGTACACTTAAAACTTTTGTTTATTGTGTTTTATTTCCCATTCCCAATTGACAGTGAATTAGTAATTAGTGCACAGTACTATTCCGTAATCCGTTCACCGTTGTGGTCGCCGCTTGCCCGTCGGTGGTACGTATCATAATAGTTTATTTAATCTTCCTGGTTAGTCGGAAGTCGAAAGTGATAATAAATAAAATGTCAAACCGGTCGTCTATAACTCATTTAGTCTTGTCAATATTACTCGTGTAATATGTGTGACTCTTAATTGTGAACTCGCTGTGCTGTTTTACATTTTTTAAATCTCGCCTATCTTACTATTGTTATTTAATTTTTTATGACCAGAGTAAGTTGTTACAGAGTGGTTATTGTTAGAAATTTGAATGCATAGGTATTTGCAGTCGACTGTTGGTTGCAGCAGATTAATTTCGCTAGACAAATTAAAGTCTTGTTTAAAATTTTCATCTAATTGTTTATGCTAGGTTTTATTGTAGATAGTAAAATCAATAAATTCAACTAGTCCCTGTGATTTAGATTCATTTAGGGCCAGCATATTAATAACATTCCTGGTTCTAATAACAATGATCTCTAAGATGTTATCGTCTGCTTCACAGTTATATATCTTTGGGCCTAGACTTAACTATTAAATTCCGACTTTAAATTTACAGCATTTTTGTACCTTCTTTGATTGAACTATTTTTCCATAATTATTTATATTTTGTCAATGTTGCATTAATTTATAATTTGATCTAAAATGTTTCAGTATTCCATATTAAAATATGGATTGTCAATCGACAGATATATTTGAAATTTATAAGTTGTTTTCGTCATTGACAGAAAATGGTATTACAGAAATGGACAATGGTTTTCAGGTGAGTTACTTAAATTATTTTTAAGACATTGATTAATCATATTTATTATACCTGCATAGAGACCTAAAATTTAAAGTAGTTGATCTGTGTTTTTATTAGGTTTCTAAATAAGTAATTATTTTTACCTTTATTACAGGTACAATCTTCCAAACTAGATGCTGTTTATAATGAATTATTACAATCGGCACAGAATGTGCCTGAAAAAAATATATCCAAAAGACAATCTAGTAAGTCATGACTACATTCAATATAATTAAGGTCTAACTTCTGCAATGTGTTTATACACATTTGACTATTGAGTATTCACATTAAGTATTATTAAGTTTCTGAACATTTACTGTAGTGAAATTTTATTTTAAAATATGTAAGTTTAAATCGATTATTTAAATTGTTTAGAAATAAAAAATGATCATGTTGGAGATCTCTTTGCTACTGAACCAAGCTTTCAACAACCAGCTGTTCCGCCTATCCGCAGAACTACAAGACAAGCTTCTATTGTATGTATAAGTACTATAACTAATAAATAACAGATCAACCATTTATTTTTTGTTTTAACGTATTATTCTGGTACAACCCAGGAATATAATGTGGTAATTTAACAAGCCCTTCTGATGAATTGTTTTATATTTCTATTGTGGTATTGAAACTTATGACTATATTTGCAAATTTTTTTTAAATTAGATTTAATTACCTGTTGTAATAGAAACAAATAGTTTTAATTATATTATTTTTATCGTAGGGCACAATCATATTGAATTTTTCTTTTACTTATTCATCTTAATTTTAGTCATAAATACTGCACATAGAAAAACCTATATGCTTTCATTTAAATCAACTAATATTTTTCTTTTTCCATACACATGTTTAAAGTTTGTATTATCTTGAAGGTATATTATTAATTTATGTTAAGGTATTATAGTTTTCTATGAAGAACCAATGTGACATAATATTAAAAAAATTATTAATGTATATTTGAATATTTTTAGATTGCATCAGATAAAGTGAAAGGCACTAGAGAATCCTCAACAATCAGCAGCTCTGGACCATCTACAAGTAATAACTGATTTATGTTTTTACAGTTCTAAATATTTTTCGAACAAAATAAATGTAGTATTCTTGTAATAAATTTGATTCTACTTACTCAAGGTAATTCAATTAAGCTATAAGTTAATTTCATTTACAAGATTTGTATTAAATGTTGTACATTTCTATACCTTTACTTAATATGTTTATTTATAAGAATAGTTGTTTTTAGATAAATTTGAGATAATTTAAGATTTAAAAATTATTTATTTTAATTATTATCTTGATTGTATTTTAGGAGCGAGTCGAGCAAGAGCTTTATCTACATTTATGGATATAGCTCCTATTGCTTGTCCAACAGCGAATTCAACTTTCGTAGTCGATAAAAAAATGATGAGAAATGTTGAAGAACCTGTTTCTCCAGGGATGTTTTCTCCAGACATTGGGACCCATATAAAGGAAACTAATGCCAATAAAACTTATGATTTGACTAAAAGATTGTCGGCAAAAAATCCTACAAAAAAATTGGGGATAATTATTGATTTACCAGAAGAATCTCCAATTAGTACTGAAAATTCTACACAACCTAAAACATTAATCAAATCTAACCCTAAGAAAAAAAGGTATAATATTTTTTTTAATATTCAAGATAACTTATAATTATTTTTCTAAATTGTTATGTATTTATAGTCTTGAATCTCAAACTAAAAATAAACGGCGTGAAAAATTAGAAGATATTGATGTCAATATAGAGGAGAAATCGCATATGACCAGAACAATGAAAAGAAAACTTCAAGAAGAAAATAATATTGATGCCAAAAAGCCTAATGTATTGTATGTGCCATTAGAAAAACAAATATCAACTCCAGGAAAATCATTAGAAGATATTCAAGCACAAACTCCTCATCAAATCAGAGAAAACGAAGCTGAAAAAAGAAAAGAATTATATCTTAAATCCAAGGCAGATCAAAGGTATCCTAGTGTTATTAATTTTTAGTCTGAATAGTTAATTGCTCAAAAATATTATTTATTTATTATTGATTCCATTGATATCATCTTTCAACATCTTAATGTTCTCATGCCCAGGTTTTGTTATTAAATATATTTTTTTTATCATCTCATGCCTCTGCTCTCACTATATTGGTTTCTTGAGTTCTCATATAATTCATAAGCAAGGTATTCTTCAAACATGACACATTTGTTTTGAGATTTTGATGAATATTGTGGTTATACTATTATTTATTTTTTTTTTTTTCAAAATGAATAACTGTAGATACTTGAAATTTTCGCCTAACATATAAATTTTCTATATAAAATATTTATCAAACTCTTAAGAATATATATATTATGTATATTGTAAATAGATCAGGAATATATAATATATAAATAATATATTAGAAAATTTAAAACACAGAAAGATGTAATTTAATATTTATCAAATTGATATTTTTAATACTTAAGGTTTGAAAATTTAATACGACATTCCTTATAAGTTTTAATTTCTGGAAATTAAAAACATAAAATAACAATTTATCCTCTTTAGATATTTGTTAATTTGTGATTAATCAAACAACTTCAAAAGGACTAACTAGTATTGTCTCCGTCTTATTAACACAGAATATGAGTCCAGTAGTTCAAATTGACGGTTAGCTTAAATATTTAAGTGAATTGACCTATTATCAAACTGAAATGTAAGAGCATTAACTGTGTTTTCTCATTGGTTTTTTACGGTATTTACATTTTTAAGAGTTAAATATTTTAAAAGATAGACCAACGAGAGAACACAGACAATATTCTTACATAGTAGTAAATTATTTATATTTAATTAAATTTAACGTGGCCATCAATCCCTCCTGTATAATGGCGCTTATAATTTTTTTTCAAAGTGGGAATTTTTTCAGCAATTTGAGACAACAAATGCAAGTACAATTTTCCTTTAATCGTTGGAACTTGAAACTTTATCTCATCTAGTAATGATACAAAATTTGTAATTTTGGTTTCTTCTTTTGATTATTTTTCAATGTTAAAGATCAGGTGATATTGTTACAATTTCCTTTATTTGTTTGTGGAAGATTGTTGGTATTTAGTTTTGGAGCTTATTATTTATACTTATATTATTAAATTCTAACCCATATTCAATTACTAATTATTTTAGTTAAATTATCCATAGGAAATTTGATGATCAACATTTAAGGGCTGCTAAACACAGAGAAGATCAAATGAAACGTGCTGAAGAAAAAATTAAAAAAACTGCCGAAGAGAATAGGAAAAAAGAAGAAAAACAAAAAGAAAAGGAAATGATGATGAAAGAGGAAGCATTAAAGAAACAAAAGCTAGCAGAACTTCGATTAGCTGAGATTAATGCTAAACGTAAACTAGCCGAAGAAGCAAAACATTTAAAAATAGTAATATATTATATACATATAAATTATATTATGATAACTTTATATTTGTAATTTTACTATAAAAATATTTTAACCTAACATGATTATTGTAGAAAAAACTTGAAATGAATCGCATTATGAAAGAAAATGAATTAAAGAAGAAAAATGAAACAAAGTAAGAAAACATTTTTATTTTTTTCAAAATTGATAATAATTTTACTGGATTTAACTTGAAATACTTCATTGACATACAATTGTTATCTTATTAATTTACATATTAAATTATTGACAGACCAGAAAAAAGTAAATCAGTAATTCGTCCTAAAGCATTAGGTTCAAATATACCTGCTTCATCAGCATCAAAATCAGCAACATTACCAAAATCAAAAGTAAGCTGGTTTCTTTTCTAAAATGAAATAAATGAAATTGATATATTCTTCTTAAATTCCTCAGAATTATAATTAATAACCTTAGACCTTATACTACTAGTCAAGATCTGTGTATAAAAAAAGCATTATGAGGGGTGGAACTACATCTCGCAGTGATGTGGCCTTCCTTGACGACAAAATACATTAATCTGTTGTACATCTATATAACTCACCCTACTACAGTAATTCCCCTCTCTCTTCTGTGCATATGAATAATCAAGCTTTCTCTAAACTTATTGCTTGTCTAGTAGTATAAGATCTATAGATGTAGATGTAACTCAAAAATTAATTTTTATGATAAGTTAACTACATCAGGTATAATGTCCTTGCATGATAGCATTATAAATATTTTGTTATTTTTACCTAAAATAACAATCTTTTTGTTGAGTTATTATAATATTAATACATTTATTTATAACCAAATTTCAATTGTTTAGTCTTGTAATTTATTAAATTGCTTATTAAAGATTGATAACAAAAATGATTATGGGTTAAATGATGTATCTGCTCGTGATTCTTCCGAAGATGAATCTGGGCCCAAAAAACCTGTTCCAAACTGGGCAAAACGTATGTACATCTGTCATATATTAAATATTAGTAACTAATTGAGCAGAATAAATAAATTATTATTAATTGAAAAATTGTCTTTAGGAGAAAATAGAAAAGCTGTACTTGAACTTCAATATCATATTGATTCTAAAGAAAGGGACTTATTCTTTGACTGTCCTAAAAGTATGAGTCTTAAAGAAATGTTCAAAGGCTGGAATATCCGTGATAAACAACGCACATCAAGTGCAGTTTGGAATACACCTCCTCGTTATAGTGAATATATTCGCAGATATTAATTCACTTGTATTAATCGAGTAAAATTATGTTATTTTTGTAAGATTTTTTTTAAGAATAATTAATAATAATTTTACTGTTCTTGTAATTATTATTTGTATTTAAATTTATTAGTCAGCACTTATTGAGATTTTTTGTAATGTATACAATATTAATATAAATAAAATACTTAAATTGTCCAAATAAAATACTTAATTTTAACTTCAATACATTATATTTTAACAATATTTTAATTATTTTGATGTTAAATATGAATTTATTCTTAATAATTCTTAACAGTTTCTAATACATGCACAAAAACTTTTTTTGTATTTATGATGTTGATAAATTAATAACAATGTTGGCACAGCCGTGTTCTCCTCTTTCTAGTGTGACAATGTGGTTACTTAACTTGCACCATAGCCTGACTGTTTCTTACCATCATAAAACAGTTTTTGCTGTGTTGTATTGTACATATGTAAGACGGGTACAACCTTTGTAGGTGTAGACGTGTAGTATCATCTTAACTATTGAGTAAACTTTCAAAAAATGTTAAGGGGGCTATTAACATTTTAAGTCCCCCTTATTTTTGCCTATGGTTGTCTTACTCTAACAGTGAAAATATGTATGAATAATAATCAACCAAAAGCTTATTATTAAGTAAAATAACTAGTAAATACAACATTGGTCTAAATTGAGTGTGTCATAATCAACTTAAAATTCAAGATTCCTTGCAAAACCCTAATTGTCGCTTGTGTTAATGTTACAATCTTATATCCTTGGCTGGATTATGTGAGATTTTGATTACCTTTAAAATTATACGTTGGCCATTGCCCATTGGATGTGAAATGAGAATTCTTCGCAAGAAAAAACACCTTTTTTTCGTTTAAACCAACAGCAGAGGAGGATCTGTTTGAACACTACTACTCCTACGTTTAAACTTATTATTAAGTTTTTCAATGTTTGATTTTATCTGATATTTTTTATCGTTCTAAGACAATTTTACAAGTTAAGATTTTTTTACTAAATGTACCTAATATTAATTTTTACATTTATTTAAAATCTATACAACAATAAAAAAGCAACTTTTACCCACATAAATGTACCTAATGCTTATAAGTTATAATTATGTAGGTACTAAAAAATATAAATTAAGTAAATTATGCTTAGCTAAAAGCAGTCAATGTGTCAATATTTTTAATTAAACTTAATAGGTGGGCAAACAAATATAATTTATTGATAGGTATAATATTCACTAAAACGAGTATTTCAACTTATGGTTCTGTGATATATGTGATATAACCATTCTTCAATTAACATCTAAAATTCTAAACATTTTTAATTTTTTTTTTTACCTATTTATTTGAAGTAATCTACAATCTATACATGTTCTTAGTATAATAAGTAGGTTTGATGGATGACAAGTAAGAATGATATGAATAATAAGATTAGGGAAGATACCCAGTGGTAACACCCTATAAGTGACAGAAATAACAATGAAAAAAGAAAGGGAGAAAAAAAATGACAATGTCAATAATAAATATATTGATAATTTATTTGAGGATTGGAGGTGTTACCTGGTAGCGACCTCCAGCACTTAATATTAATTAATTAATCATAAACATTGAGAGTAGGTGTAACTTTAAGTCGAGGTAACAAAGGTATTATGTTGTAACTGTTATAATTTATATGTAAGAATACTTCTATATGGCTAATCTACCTACGTCCTACCGGCTATGGCGTACGGCTTAAATCTTTGATTTTTAGAACATAAAAATTAATTATGCAGTCCAAACATAGTCGCAAGGACATTTATTTCCGTGCGTCTTTTCGCCTAGGCGTATTTAAATTACCTATATTATCATGTCGCATTATTATAGTAAAGTATCTAATGATGTACCTAATATTTTCTTTTGCCATACAAATTATAATTATAAATACACATTGTTGTCCATGCAGTCTTCATTATTATTGCTGAAATCTTGTTGATTCTCTTGCCATTCGAGGACACCACTTAAAAGGCGAATGTACCTGTATAATAATCATGAACAGTGTTATTAATAAATACATTTTAAATGTTTAAGTGGCATATCAATATCAAATATTATACACTTGTTCAAACTGCATTCTAACAAATGTACATCAGAAAAATATATTTTAATAATAATGTTATAGCCTTACATTATTCAGTGCTTTAGACGGCGAATACGAATTTAATAAGTGAGGGGGGGGGAGGTGGTCATTATATTTAAAAAAAAACTTAAATATATTTTGGTAATTTTAAATGTTTGTTAACACATTTAAATAATTTGCATGTTGTACAGGAATGGGTTTGAACCATAATCCCCCTCGTGTATACGGCTCTGCATAATATATTATATATTTATTTAAAAGTAAAATCATTCACCAGGAAAGGTGCATACACCTGCAAGCTCTTCACTATTTTTCATTTAATAATACATTTTATTCAAATATTCTGATTTTAAATTCTGAGCGAAGTGAATGTATTGATTTTACAATGATGTGTGTTTTTATATTTAATTAGATCAATTTTTATCGTTTTATTGTTATTACGGTTTCTTGCAGTGAAAGTGCTTCGATATTCACTGAATATTTGCTTAAGTATTTTCTATACACCATACAATTTTCAACATATTTTGTTAATGGAAATTAAAAAAAAATCGAGTGTAAATAAACAAAAATGTTTGATGAGTGTTTGATATTGAAAGTTCAAATTCAATCATGAAAGTTAGCAAATTATACTTAGTTAGAAATTCATAAAAATGTTTCTATTTATATCTAAGATTTAAGAATTTAATTCAAGATTTCATATAAGTTTGTTTACCTTTATCGAAAAAAAAAATATTTACCGGAAAGTTAAATTACATTTTTATGAGCGTTTGAAGTTGAAATTTTTACAATATTTATCAAAATGAAAATTGAAAATGTTTTTGTACTTAAAAATGTAAAAAATGTCTATAGCTAAGGATTGAAAATTTAAAACAAAGTTCCACTTAAGCATTTTTTTCCTCAAATAAAAAAAATCTAAAAAATATATGAATAGTTATTTTTTAGACATTTTAAGTTCAAATTTGGATAAGATTGCATACTAACACAAAGAATAACGTTTATCATTTGGTTCCAAAATAGCCCAATTTTTCATAGTTATGCTAAATATTTTTCCAGCAGCACTGATAATTTAAGAATAATTTATTGAACTTACCGGCTACCATATTAATAATATAAGTAATAACAATATAAAATATCCTAAACTGACATACCGTCTCTGCTCAAAATCGTTTTTCGTATACAATGTACAGCAAAGTGACATCCACCTACCCGCTTTTTTAAAGGTTAGATTGTATTTTATTTAAAGACCACATTTTCAAATTCTCGAGATTTTCTTTACTAAGGAGTGTCCTGTGGCGATAGAAACTTATGTTTTTAAAATGAGAAACCACCTATTTTAGTGTAATTGATTTTATTTAGTGGACAATTTTTTTTTAAACTCGAATGATGTTTTAATTAAGTGCATTTGAGATGCAGTTTTTTGGCTATTAAAATATTTAAATTAAAAGAACACTACTTGTTATCTCTGTCTTACAAAATATGTAAATCAAAGCAAAAACTGTTACCCACTGTTCGCGGGAAAGAACCCGGGAAATATAAGATGTTTGCATTCTTTCAGTATTCAACTGATTTCATAAATGGTTTTTCCCTATTTTATAAATTTATAATATATAGTAAATACCTATCTCTACATACAAGATACAAATTGGCTGTTTTCGAATTTCTAAAAGAAAATTGTTGTAAACCAAGGTTAATGAACAATTATAGTCATAACTCATAAATATGAAGTTAAAAAATACTGCACTGTAAGAATATCTGCATTCAATTTTGAATCGGTGCTACTGCCTTTGCAATTAATTAACATACTAGGTACATAACACTATTATTGTACGCAAAGTGTAGGTAATAATAATAAAAGATATAAAGGTACATTATTATTTATATTATACCACATACTTGATAGCCATCCTTAAAATTTCATTCTTTGATAATTTTTTATCGTGTGGGTGAGTGGGTACCAATTTACGAAGTTCTGCAAAGGCACCGGTGACGTTGTGTTGGCGCCAGCGTTCCCGGGAATTGGTTACGGTACACGGTTTTCGGGAATCTGGTACTGGGAACCGTCGGACCCCAGTCAATTGATTTATAGACAACACATCTTCATCGCCGGAAGTTAAGTCGTCTGAAGTTAAGTCACATTCTTCGTCTGATCCGAACAGCATGACGACCCGAGATGAAGACGAATCATCTCTTGTATCGTTCAATATTTGTTGGGTTTGTTGATTTTTTGGCATGATTGAAAAACTTAAATAAATCTAAACATACTAAAGCACAAAATGTTAGTTGAATATCGTCAGTAACTCATATATTTTTATCTTAAAATAAATATAATTGTATTGTTTTTGGTATCTATATGGTATGAAAATTTTAGCATTTCAATGTTTGTTGTTTCTTTTAAAACTTCTGGAGGTTAGGTCACATTTTTTTTAGTAAATTTATTAAGATTTAGTATGATATTTACATCTAAGTATCCAACCATTTAATGTGTTAATGAGTATGTTAAATTGTTAATATTACCGAGACACAATATTTTAATGTTAAAATCTCTATAAAGAAAAAAAATTTCTTATGAATTACTGAAATCGGCTATACATAAATCTAAAAAATGTCGATTGCAATATAATTTAACAAGAAAAACTGGGAAATGTGTACAATTATGTTTTTTTGTATGTGAATACCAAGACTTGGCCTATAAATATATATGATCAGTTTATAAACTAAACTTATTAATGATAAAAGTTAAAAAAGTATTTAATTTTCAAAACTCAAAGAAAAAAGTTTTGCGAAAAATATTTCAACTATATCTAAAGTTTTTTTTTTTAATTTCCTACTAAATAAATAATTGATAAGTGTGAAATTAAAACAATACAATACAACTTTATTTAAGTACTTTGGTGTAATAAAATATTGAACACATATTATTTACAGGTATACCTGCTATTATTACACAATTATATATTATACAGTTAACAATTGCAAATAGGTACAAACTTTTTTTAGATTCTGAGCGGAATGATATTATATTAGTTTTACAATTATGTGTTTCTTTTGTTTTTGTGTGTGTCTGTTAATCACCTATTTTGGGGCAGCAAAAATGCTTCGATTTTCTACTTCGGCGTCTTTTTTTGGAAGGAAAATGAATCTAGTTGGTACTTTCTACTTAAGTGAAAAGTAAAAATTCCTAGTGGTTTTCAAAAGCGTCAAGAAACCCTCTGAAAAATTAAGGGATAAAGTATGGCTTGTTACTCAAATTTAATACAAGATTCCTCAAAGTTTTTCTATCTTTAACAAAACTTTTAAGTTCCAATATTTACGATATTGGATATTCACCCTTAAATTAACAATTTATTATAATTTATTATTTTGTTGTAATTCCAATGTCTACCAAATGTTTATTTTATCGTTTTATTTAAGCACGTAGTACATGAAAAAATTAGATATTTGGACGAAAAATAACGACTTTAGTTATTTCGTTGTAATTCAAAAATATTAGTTGTGGGCACTTGAAACTAGAGAGTCTAAAAAACTAAATTAACAGAGTCTAAATAGTTTTTTACACACACTGACATTTCCAAATGCAATTTTTTCTGAAAAATTAATTTCACTATCTTTATTACTAATGTCTAATAATAAAAAAATTACTTTAATAGGAATGATATCATAAAATATACTTAGTAATATATGCTGACGACAGTGTTCGCTTAGAATTATTTTTTGTATACAATGATTGTATATCATTGTATTAAAATTTGACACACCCATTACAGTGGTCAGTGACCCTTACAACACCTATAATGTACGGCATAGAGGCATAGAATCTAACCAAGCTTATATAATATATTTTTTTGGAAGGACATTTATAAAATTTAAAACTCTAAATCTAAGTATAATAAGCTTAAATATTTAAAATACCAAGTCTAACTCTAATGATGTTAATTATTAACATTATTTTAATGTTAATTTTATATTTTTTAACAGTAATTTTCTAGAACACTCACTTGGGCTGACTGCTGTGTAAGTCAAGAAACGAAAACTCAACAAAGTTTTAGTATATCTTTATCCATAGACTATACCCGTATGTATTAACACAAAATACTTATTGTTTAAAATGTAATTGATAACAACATAATTATTACATTCAATTCAAGGTTGATTTTTTTTCTAATAGATATTTGCACATGAATATTTCACAGATTAATTCGGATAGGTACCAAAATAGTGAACTACCTATAAGTCTTATTAAGTTTTTTTGCAACATTTATAAAATGAATATTTTATTCTGATTCAGATTTGATAATAGGCAGTTTGCTGAACCTATTTTTATTTTATAAATTAATAAAAAAAATTTACAATTAAACTTACCCAAATAAAAATATTACAATATAATAATACTTATTGCACAATGCACTTCTTTCTACAACGCACTTTAGGAAACAAGTATTAAGTATTTCATTGAAGGGTGGAAATGCTTCTTGAAAAAGTTAGGGGATGCAAGTTGTCAACGCCCTCTTATATTTCAATAACCAACCAGTGGTTAATACCAATCTCCCACCCTTAAAATACATACCACCCACAATGTTCACCCCATACACAGCCATGATACTTAACAGTTGATAATAATATATTGTACTGTTTTTTTTTTTTGCGATAATGGTAACTATTTATAAACTTATAAGTTATTACTAATCATTTATTGTAAATTTGTTATTTGTGTACATAATATAGAGATAATTACTAAATTATGTCATCATATTGTCATATATACTTATGTACGAGGCCACAAGGATGGGATATATGGTATGTATAAATATAAGATCTTTAAACTTGATTACATTTGAGAAGTGTTTTCAGTTTCATATATTATGTTATAATATTATGGGATGTTTAAGATGAAACCTAACCCCTGGACAGTGGCTACCGGCTATGTAACCGATATTGCAAATAAGTATAAGTATTATATAAATTATAAAGATTGATAAATTGAATCACTAATCATAGTTTCTTCCACCCTTATTTTTTCCTTTAATAATAATTAATTCATTCATATTCTGATTTTAAAATGTCCAAGTATTTTACTTAAGGAACATATTTTAAAATACTTATATATTTATACATGTAAGGAGTGCCCAGTGGTGGCATATGAACTGTATAGACACTAGGTAATAGGTATAACGAATAACCTAAAATTTAGTTCATTTCATATTCATATTAAGTTCTTCGATATATTTTTATTATTATAGGATAAGATTCGAAGATTTTATACAATTTCAACAATTTATATGTTTTTTTTAGGTATATTGAGAATTAAGGTCACTGTGAAAATATTTTAAATGTACCTATATGGACCCATCTATCCCTATTCTGTAGGTACGCCTATATTATATACGTGTGTTAATATTGATCCAAAAGTCAATAGATAACAATAACTAGTTCTTGATTCTCTTAGTGCAATTTTTTTGATACCTGTACTAATGTTAATGATTATCGCAATATGTCAATATATATAATTGCCTCCTTTTTAATTTACTAACAAAATAATGCCAAAAAAGTTTAATATTTTAAAACAATTAAGTTACTATTATTTATATAATATTGAGATAAGGCCTATGGAATTTACTTGTGGGTGGAAGTTGAAGGTGGACATTTTGAAAAATAAAAATATATTATCAATAAAACATTAATTAGTAGTATTGAGTGATTGTTATTGGATTTGGATTATAGCTATCCATAAAAAGTTTGAAAAATAAAAAATGTTCTATTGTAATTTTCTGTTTATTTTTTAACTAAAATAATTACTTTCATTCATTCATTAAAAATTATTTTTTCAGTATTATAAATAAGTCTGCAACTCCCATATTATAAAATAAACTGTATTTTCAAATTTACGAACACATTTTTTTTAAATTCTAAAATCAAACAATTTGTCAATTACGACTTACCTATGAAAATGGGGGCGGTTATAATATATAACCAAGTACAGTATTACTTTAAAAAAAAACTGTACTAAAATATTTATACTAGGGTGGTAAAGTATCGAGCCTAATGTGTACTTGGGTACGTAATATAAAAATGATGACGACAGTAAAATACCTTCACGTCATATTCTGTAGATTAAAATATTCTAATTTTAAGTTACTAAATAAAAAAAACGAATCTGATTAAAATTAAATACTACTAAATACTTATTAGCTCATAGGTTACCAACATTATATATTTATATAAGTGTGACATAACAAAAGACGAGATACCCCTTTATAGGAGAAATATTGTATAACTGTAAAAGTAGATAGGTTAGGTACATAATACATGCATTAATACGCAAATGGCATACCTAGTTAAAGACGTCGTAGGTATAGCACTTGAAGAATTAAGATTCACATAATATCAAGTACCCTGTACTTATAATACATTATGCATCATACGATTTTACATAATATAGATCCAATAAGATTTACTCGCGTATTCAGTTTATATAACCCCGATAACCTATAGGTACTTATAAAAGTATAGTAAATATAATGTATATTAGCTGCATATTTGATATTATTATGGTATTATGTACTCTAGACAATAAAATATATGATGCAGAGTTCATACTTCATAGATTATTATATTTACTTGGGATTTGAATATTTGATAATTGTATAAGTGCATAGAGTATAAACTGAGTCAGTTAGATTTATATTTATTTTATGGACTATATACATATGTATATTTAATAGGTATATATATGTGACTAAGTACAAGTACCTACCTACATGACCACATACCTATACACGAGATCACACTTCATGTATTATATTACTGTTTATATCTCAGTGGGTGAAATAATCGAAGTGAAATAATAGGTAGATATAGGTTTGCGGTATGCCTATAAATAATATAACTGTATAGAAATAGGTGCAATATGCTATAGCAAAGAATAGGGTAGGTAATATAATATGACCATAAGCAAAATAATGAAAGTAAGCCTCATTATGAAGTATGAAGTAATTGTGTTATCACATGGCCGTCTGATATATTAACAATGAATAATGAATTTATTCGAGTTCGAATGTTTTGAATACTTAAACATACTTATGTAGACCATATTTTCAAATTCATGAGATTTTTCATACTACTCAAGGGTGTTTTACGGAGACACGAACTTCTATTTTTCAAAGAGAATCCCCATTTTCTACTGTAAATTACTTAGTAGGTAGATCATTTTTCTGAACACGTTGACGTATTAAAATTAAAAGTTGAAAGAGTAGTTTTTGAATTACTAACAAAAAATAATTGGTCCATGATAATAGGTTTGAAAGATATAATGGCCATGGTGATTTGAAAATTATAGTAACTAATACGAATTGTCAATTAGCATATTTTATAATTTGTAAAAATGGTCCAAGAAGGTACCTATAATAAACACTAATACATCCAATATTACATATTATATTTTTGTAAAAACATTTTAATAACTGAAAAGCTACTCGCTGAATTTTGAATTATGTACGAACAAATTATCTACTAAATTAATTACAGTAAAAAATAAGTGTTCTCATTTGAACAACATAAGAGTTTGTTACGTCACAAGGCATTCCTAAAATAGTAGTACAAAAAATTCAAGAATTTAAAAATATGATCTTAAAATTTAAGTACATTAAAAAAATTACAAAAATAAGAATTTGAAAAAATTCATTATTAAATGGAAAAATTAGGGTGAGCATGTTTGGTGAATCACGTTGTATCGCAGGTAAAAGGTACATTACATTTATAATATTTGTATATGTAGTATGTACTAATAATTCATGTATAAAGAAGAATCAAAATTCAAAACATACATCAGGTATTCTATGACCCAAAACAGATTCAGTAATCTGGCTATGTAATAAATATAGAGAGAGAATTATTTAATCAGCTTATTTTCGATAATGATATTTTATATTTGCATTGTTATGGACTCATGGATTCCTAAAAACCATATCTATACTAACATGATTAAATGACATCCCAGGGTTATTATTAAAACAACAACATGTTTTTGTAACATAATAATAAATTGGGATCGCGATTATATATTATAGTATTTTTTATGTTAATAATTTAATATGTATACCTATATAATATAATAGAAGGATTTATTTAGTCGTAGTAATTGGTGGCTTCGATCAATCAAATGTATCGAATAGCGTAATAGGTCATAAAAATAGTGCCTCTCCAAATCTCGCATACTATAATTTATTATAAGTGCCACTCAAATGCGAATTACGATCTAGCTATACGCATTTACGAAAACAGCGTTCACCTACGAAAACAACAAGAAGGGCGTTGGCTAAATTGTTAGACCTCTGGTCTAGGAAAAGAGAAGACACCATGTTTAAAAGTGAGTCCGCAGTACAGTATTTTTAGATGTACCATAGGTCTTGGCCGTTGAATACTTGAGTCCTGATGAGCACCTTCACTCCACACAACTTGTACAATTTCATTTATAAACCTTTTTTTTACTTGATAAACAACTATTTTATTTCAACAGCTGGAAGTTAATTCTAAAGTTAATTTAGACACTTCTGACTTCACTATAAAATTATTAATATCTAGGTCACTGACAGAGTCACACCCAACAGCATCTAAATATAAGCGAACCTATACAGTTAAAAAAATATATTTTACACATTTTAGTTTTAATGATGAGATTTTGCTCTATCGTTTATTTTTAACTTTGATTTTACAGGACTTCTTGTGGACCCTTTGATGACTGCTAAACTTTAGTGATGCTCATTATGCGGGGTTTGGCAGCTTTTGTCTTAACGGCTTATTTTGAACTTGGTTAACTATAAGACTTATAGCTCCTGTAACTATTAAATCTTATGTTTATTATTGATATTTTTACTGCGGCTACGGTTATTAGTTTTTTCGTTAACCGTGATCTTGGCGCAGTGCCTATAATAATATATAGGTACATAAACATAATATGTATATGTAAAAACATACCAACCAAAACAATAACCGAATACTATGACCATAGACTATAATGTATTAGTCATTATTGGTCTTATAATTATATGCAATAAATATATTATGCTTCCTGCTTGTGCATGCAATCGGCTCCAAAAGTCATTAAATTTACCAAGACATCACGACGATCGTAGCCATGCAAATTATTGACTTTCACGTTAGTATATAACAATATAACAATATAACTACTGTATTCTATTTGCTGTGTCCGTGTGGACTAATCGATAGTATAAGGGGAGGTGTGCCTGAAGGCTGCAGCGGAAGACGATTTTTCGACCTCTGTGTTATGATGTTTTCGGAATTTCAAAATTATCATTATTTGATAAAACACTAGCATTTTAAGATCGTTCGCAAATAGCTGGTAATTATACAATATTTGAAGCAACCATACCTTCATCCATAATAAATATTGCAAACAACAACGATGATACATATTATCAGATTATATTTTTTCCATTCACTCATGTGGTTTTCGATTGTCGCACACAAATCTTTGAATGCCTCATCTGTCAATAAACAATATGTACTGGAAATTATTTTAAATGCCACTCAGAAAATCAAACATTGATAGGTCAACCAGATAATAATATGTGCAGATCAGACTTCAAGAGCTATTGATTGATCTGAGGAGCCAGCTGACGCTCCCGAGTCCCGGGATACCGAGTACCGACCGTATCTGAGCCTCTAGCGTGTAGACTTCCAATGTAGTATTTGAAGGGCAACATATTTTCCCCCCTCCTAAAAAAATTTTTTTCTTAAAAATGTAAGGTTCAACTACTATTATGTGGTATACGTGTAGTTTAGCTTGGAAAAGATTTTTTGGATTTTTTTTTTATTTCAATATGTTATAAGAACAACGGTGCATTCAGAATTAGTTGGACTTAGTTTCAAAGTTATAACTTTTTGAAGTCCACGAGTACATATTCCCACCCGTCGGGGACTTTTTAATTAATTAATTTTATTAACAATAAAATAAATAGTAAGATAGGAAGGCAGTTTCTGATTCCATCAAAATTACGGATACAAATAAATAAATGAGATAAAATTCAGAAGGTTAGGTATTCATTTAGTATATTATGTGGCCTACTGTACCGCATGACCTACAGTATATTGGGCGTTTGTTTAGGATTTCCAGTCAAATTAAAAATCATTAAATTATGTAATTTTATTATTATTAATTAATTAGTAGTATTAGTAATAGGTCCACATACTAAACGAATTCCGAAGGTTATAATAATAATTAAAATATATAATATAAATGTATTTATTTTTTGATACAATTTATATATAACAATAGTATGTCAAGATAAACTTACCTTTAAATGGACTAAACAATTTGCCGCCCCAAGCAACATGAGTACACTTGCCTTCCCCTAAATACGTGAATAATTGAAACATTTTTGGTGAAAAGTTAAAACTCTTAGTATAATTAATAATTAATTTAAAAATTGGAATTTCTATAATTAATTTAATGACATATTAAAATATATTAATGTATTTATATTTTATAAATAAAAATGAAAATAAATTATTTTTTATAGAATAATTGTTTGTCTGGTTTTTTTTCATTGATCTGTTCACCCTAATTATACTAGAATTATACTATATCCTGTAAAAGCCAGGCTAGTTTTATAAAAAAAAAAAATTAAGAATTAAATTTTGTGTATAATTAATAATCATAGATTGGATCGAAATTTAAACGAACTCTAAACTAACTCTAAACTAACTCTAGTGAATCACTCTGTATACTAAATTACTAACACAATTTAGGTACAAAGTAATTAACAGTTGTATTGACAGTATTATGTACAGAGTAATCAGCTATATACCTACCGAATTGCACAGCGTATGGCACAGTGCGCACACGCTGCAGCATCTGTTATATCAAAGATCAAACACTAAGATAAAACCATAATTTTATGTTTAATATGTGTATAACTGGTGTATAATTACGTACAAAATTGCAGTGATGATAACAACAAATATTTTTTCTTCACTAACCGTCTGTACTTAACCTAACTGCCGACGTAGCTGTTGTTTGCCTTTTGCAATTTAGCCCGTAGCCGAGCACATATAGGTACTACTCGCGATAGTCGATACTAAGCAGTACATATACAGGGTGATTCTCCAAGCATGCTCACCCCCTTTTTTGTTCAATAATGCAGTTATTTAAAATTTGATTTTTTTAAATTCTTAAATATACTTTAAGACCATATTTTCAAATTCTTGAGATTATCAGTACTACATTATTAAAGAGTGTCCTGTGGAGATAAAAACTTCTATTTTTCAAACAAGTCCCCCCCCCCCCGCCTCTCATTCAATATTACAAATTATACAGTAGATAATATTTTATGGATTATTACGAGTAGTTTTTGAGTTATTTAACTTTGTGTATGAAGGATAAAAAGTCCATAGCGTAATGAATTTATAAAAAATGGAGGCAATGGTGATTTGAAAATAGTAGTCATTATAATATTAAACTATCGATAGTAATAATTTGAAACAGGGTCCAAGTATAAAAAACACTTGATCCAATTTTACGTCCATTTTATATTTACCTATGAAAAACCAGTTTTAAGGACTATTATCCTTAATACAATCATTTTATAATAACCAAGAAACTACTGATTCGAATTTTGAATGCGGTACCTATATCAAAATGTTCAAAAAAATTATTTATTAATTAATTTACAGTAAAAGAGGGGAGTTATCATTTGAAAAACAGAAGTTTGTATCACTACATTACAGGGCACTCCTTAAGTAGCACAAACATATTCAAGAATTTGAAAATATGGTCTCTGAGTATATATTTAAAACTTCCAAAAATCAGAATTTGAGGGAATTCAGGAAAAAATGGGGGTGATCATGCTTGGTGAATCACCCTGCATAGATTATAAACTATAATTCTATATTCAAGGGCTGGGGTAGTGGGGTTAATACGACCGAGGGACTTCCGCACGTGCGCAGGACGACGACGACGATGATGGTGATCGAGCGGTGAGCGGCGGCCACGCTCCAACTTCAGTGCGATAACGCCGCGCCGTCGCACAGTTAGTTCCCTGCGCGCGCACGTCATATTATATACCACCGGCTTATATCGGTGACCCGTTCTCGAGGATAAAAAGTCGTATAACAATAATAATAATAATAATAATAATAATAATAATATTAGAATCGAGTGCCCGAGCAGGCGTCGGCCGTGGGTCCTGCTCTACGGCGATAATCCACAGCCGTTATTGTATTATATATATTATTATTAGTAGTATAACAGCGGCCAAAGGACGAAAAAACTCGACTCCATTACGCGCGCCACTGGTCGCAGTAATTGTTAAATCATTTTATCGTGTGCGTGCGCCCGAGCCAGTTTACGAGTATTATTTAGCCATCGTAAAGTCGGAGGCGGCGCGTGCCGAAATCAATTTCTCGTAATGTGATATCATTTTAAGCGAAATAAGCTAAATGCGTGCGGGTGCGATATAACAATAATATGTTTTCGGTTTAAATAACGTTTACGGTTAGGGGATGTGTGCCTCTGACTATATTGGGATTTCAAGATAATTTGTTGGTGTGGACATATAGGGGACTACTCTATTGGTGTTTTTTGATTTTTTCACAACTTTTTGTCTGCAATCTAATATAATATATTTGTATTACTCAAAGCTCCCTCATTCAATTTGTTTTCGTATTTCTGTATCTTTTCTAGTCAGTAGTTGAATAAGTCTTTTATAATATTATGTAAGCAATCCAATGATGTGTAAGACGTTGGTAGGTACTAGACATTAATATATTGCGGCATTAAGGTGTGCACACTACACACACTTAGCAGCGGTATACCGCACGGTATGTTATTTGTGTGGTTTGGTACTGTAGGTTATACCTGCAGTCATACAGGTTTAGGTTGCACAATGGTGCGATATCCGATATTGCAGGTGTGCGTGGTACAAACTCACGATACTAAAACAAAAACGTTTTGTTTTTTCCTATCACACATTTTTCTGAATGACTAGAACCGAGTAAGTTGAGTACATCATAAATGGTTTAAGTAATGGCCGTTTTAAATATGGTAAGTTTAATATTATACCAATAAGTTTAAAGTTATGCATCGCTGATCCGGCTTTTATCATATATGGTGCGGCGTCGCTAAATAACAATAAAACATTATTGTGTTCGACTCCTTGAGGCCAAATTAAATTCATAGATCTATCAAAGAGTTGAGTCATTGTTGTACTATTTTTTTTTTTTTAATGTTCACAGTTAACAAACATGACTTTACTAGGCACTTCAGAATCAAGTACAGCCACAATAACATTGGCTATATAGCGGCCGTCTATATCCGCGGTCTCATATCGATTGATACCCTGAACATTTTACTATTAAAGACCTCGGATTGTATTTTAGTTGAAGTTTTTTTAAAAATATCATCTACATAATTTTTCCTTAAGGTCGATTCGTTGGGGATATTTTTAAAAGTATACTTCTCTAAAAACTCTTTAAATTTAAAGTTATTTACCTAGTTTTTACTTTCCGCAACGAGTTATAGCCGTCCGTATAATAAAGTGTTATGGTTATAATATACTTAAATTATTATAAATATGCCACTAAATCTAGAAATTATCTATATATATATTTATATGCTCAAAAATGTCAAATATGCAAAAAAAGTTTGTCTATTTGTAATATAGACTTCGTAAATCAAATTTATATCAGACTTCGGTGTAATTCTGATTGCACGAAAAAAATATGCTACCGAAGTCATGAACATCTGAGCCCTAGTAATGACTATAAGCAATTATAAAATATCATCATTCAAAATATTATTTTAATTTATCCTAACCCGCTCTCTAATACTCATAGATAAAACTAATAAAAGCATGATACAAATATTTTAGAAAGAATGGAAAATATAATATACCTACAGAGAAGCTGAATTACCAGACGTTGCTCGGAAAAAAATGAGATTGTTTAACTTCTTTTTGGTGTAACCTATAAACTTCTTTAAGAATTGGGCTATCAAATACAAAAATAATTTTTCAAATCCGACCGGGAATTTCAGAAATTACCTTCACCATACATATGAAATATGAATGCCATAATGCCTACTTCTTTATAAGAATAAAAACAATAATTGCTACAGACATAAAATAATTTATAATTTATGCAATGAATATAATATCTATTATCTACCAAATATAATATAGATAAATAATGATATTATTATGTATTGTGTTTACTATAATTCATAATAATAGGTAATAACTAATAACCAATATATTGTTTAGAGTGTTTACTGTTAAGACACCTGTCAGCATTTTGATAATTCGTGTCGTACATACGCATACGTCATTAAATGTTTTTATATTAGATTAGTGATTACGATTATCGATTATCTACATAGCTCGTAGGCCATGACAATTGTGCAACTTTATAATATACACCGTTTGTATGTACTAAAATAAATGTATTATGTATATTTTAATACTTAATTGTTAATAAGTTCTATTGTTAGTATTGTTACTTATATATAGTGTATACACTGCGGAGGGGGTATATTGGTGGTAAAGGATCCTCCCATGACCTTTTTTTATGCATAATATTAGTGTGGGGGGGGGGGGGCACTACCCTGCGATTTACCTTAAAAATAATGAATAACCTATATCTAATTATGCAGTAGCATGTAGTGAATTCTTTATTATTAACCAATGGTTATTTTCAGACTGCATTCAGTGTGCATTAAATATACTTGTTGCGACCCACAATTGAATATTATATAGATACAATAATATATAACCAGTTGGCCAAGTACTGGAGGCAATTATGAAAATTAATTTGAAAAAGTAATTATTTTTTATACTGTATAGTCGTTTTCGGTTGTTATATTAGTAAAAATGCGTTTATTAGATGTGTATCCAGTATTAGACACGGTTGCCCATGGTGTTGCGTATCTATTAGAGACGTTGGCTGTTGGTGAATATTTGTTTCACGTAATTCCCAACGAAGTAAGGTATTTTAACGCAAAGTGATTGAGCGATGTCAGAATCAGAAACAATAACGCATCGTTTGGTGTGCGGATTATTGAATATTGTGCAGTATTTGTTTAGAAAAACGTATGTTCAAATCAGAAATAATATATAGGTAGGTATATGATATTCAGTAAATAGTGATAGTATTGCCGGGTTGCATTAATAATCACCAAAAATTTAACGAATCAGTAGTCAGCTGACAATGATCCCTTATAAACCTGATTTTGTTGGCCCCTTGATAGGTTCGTTGCATTTTAGTAAACCATTAAATCAATAAATTGTTTATGCACCCCAGCTAAGCTTTTTAAATAAAGCCAATGTGTCCAAGAAATGAATTCGATCACGTTCGTGTTTTTTTCAAATGAATGTGAACGAATTTATTGAAAACACTAATGCGTTCGATTCATCGTTTATTTAATTTTTTTAAATTTTTTTTTATAATAGGAATTATAATGTTATAATAAATGTAGTAAATGGTAAATAAATTGAGCGTCTTAAAAATCGTTCAAATTCATTAAAATATAAACATCGTTCACGTTCAATTTGAAAAAAAAAACGAGTGATGTTCGCGAATCGTTCACTAAATATGAACGTGAACGTGTAACATGCGTTCATGACCGACGTTCTTTCCAAACACTGAATAAAGCCTAACCTATAATATTTTTTATAGGTATAAACTCACTAGTTATTAGACTCGTTTCATTTCGAAGATATAAACATAATAGGTGTATTTAATATTTTAAGTGTACTTCACCGTTATTTACGGTTTTTTATTTTTACTTATTTCTACACATACTTTTGTCTTGATGTACATTTTGTGATATATATGTCATACATACGTACAAAGACCGTGATTTATTTTCTTTTGAGTCGTAGTAAAATCTGTCACTGTGCAGTGTGCACTGTTCAGATAATCGTATTAACGACACGTGTAGAATTCACGACGCGTGTTTCTATAAGTGCTACCCGTCATCATCGCCAATAGCTACGATTTGTGGCTAGCTAATACGTCAGCAAATAAAGCCTTAGTTTTATCTGATAAGTAGGTATATCGGAGTATGCTCATGTCTCATAGTGCACATTTTCTGCAAGCGGATTAACACGTGACTGTTATTAGGCTCGGCGTAATTAATTCTAGATTGTTTCTATTGTGTGACTATAATAGTGACGTTCGAATTTATACACAATTCCTAACAAATGAAACAATTATTTATACATAAGAAAGATAAAAAACCTGCTAACAAAACGTTGCATCTATATACTATGAATTATGATATAGCTGATAGTTTAAACTGTGTTTTTAACAAGGTATATAACGAATATGATAATTTTTAATCAATTTCGCAAATTCAGATATGGATACCTAATGTACACACCTCGATAAAGCATAATTTATGACATTATTAAACAATTCCCAAATCATTAATGTAATTATAAAGATAAGGCATTTCTATTGATCATCATTATTAACTGATTCCATTTTTGAAATCTATACTTCTATGTCAGTTCAAATAATTTTAAAACTTTTATACCTACCATTACATTAATTTCATCTAATTTTACCCTCAGCAAGTCTTATTAGTATTATTTTATAAGCTTTTTCAATTTTAGGTTATAAACTAAATAATTAAATTAAAAAATATATCATCTGCTCAATTCCTATTTGAACAAAAGACTTTTGAACACCAATCAAAATATATATATATTCATTTTTAAATGCTTAGGATTTAGCATGATTCACATGCAACTTGATAATGTATACAATAGTGTATTAAGCTGACACTAATAAGCTTGTTATTTTTATGTATAGATTCTTACGAATTTATGATCTTACCATCTTCCATTTTTTTTTCTCGAAATAATCCATTATGTATATGATTTTAATATTATTATTATTTGTAAGCCTATTAAGTATTTGAAATAAAAATGAAAAATTGTTTGTATAGATTCTAATTATTATTGTATTATGATCAATTTCCTCCTGGCGCCTGATGTCCATTTCAATGGACATTTTGTGTTACTCCCTAAAGCGCCTGACCTGTTTATAACAACTGCAACCGTATGTGCCTAATGTCCATTTCAATGGACATTTATATTTACCTCCTAAGTGCCGGGCCATATTTTATTTTCAATTTGCTTGATATGATATTATAACCTCAAAATAGATATGATAAGGAACAATAATAAATAATATAAACATTTCTAACAAATGTCCATTTGAATGGACATCCGGCACATACGGTTGCAAATTTTAAAAACAGGTCAGGCGTTATCGGGGGTAGAAAGATTTGTCCATTTTAATGGACATTAGGTACTTATAAATACAAAACATAAAAACGATTCAGGCGCCAGGAGGTTATTGTCTCTATATGTTGATTAAAAACAAACCTTTTTACCTGAAAAATTAATAATGATGAAAAAAATTACCTGTACCTATTAATACTGTTTAAATAACTCAACTGTTTTATTTTCCGGTATTCGTACCTATTTTGTTAAGTTAATGTGTTAGTAATTTGAATAGAATTTTGGAGTAAATATCTGAAACTGCATTATATTTATTGATATTTTTTATTTAAATACAACTTGTGAAATATAGTGTATAAAAATTAATATATTCGTATAACTGCATTAGCGTATAATAACAATAACAAAATAAAAGTACATGCATTTACATAACAATTATTAAAATTATAACAATAATTATCTTATCTTAATTGTAAAAGAGGTTCAATATAGGTACAATAGTCAAACATATGTAATATACTATATACGCCGGTATGGAAATATGTGCACAAACCGATAATAAAATGTTATAGGTATATTTACATTATACATTTATAAACAATACATTATTAATATAATAATGAATAATAAAAGAATCTATATAATCTTTAAATTAATACATTTGATTGTATATAATAATATGAACTAAAATAAAATTATAAATATTTAATATTTGTTAAAGCACTTTAATAATTCCACACAAATAAATTACTAGGTAGGTACTTCTAAAATAATAAAATGCAAAAAAATTAAGTTTTCTGCAGTGGTAATTATAAAGTTACTTTTAACAAATAAAATAATGTAAACAAAGTAGTTTCTATTGACTAGGCTTTCAAATATTTTATAATGTGTGTTTGTTATTGAACCAGGACTACTTTGATTTTAATAATTTCATTAGTTATATTGTACTATTGTTTATCAATTGCCGATAAGCCTATTACATTACGTTTCCATAGTTAAACTTAACATTTATTCAAAAGACAATAAATTGTAGCTACATATTTTGTTAAAAGCAAATAAATAAATTAGAAGTGTTGATTACACAACAATTTTCACACGATTTGAATATAAATATAATTATACAACTCTATTGTAGGTACGTGCATAGCCATTCTAGACTTATTATATACTAGACTTACTTGATCATTATTTATAACTATAAATTATAAATCTATAACTAATATACAAAATAATTTAGTAACTTCTATAAACACGTACAAAAAGAAGTTTTACAAAACATCCTACTGATGCAAATCAACTATTTTTTTTTTTTGATCACAGATAAATAACAAATAAGTTCAAAACTCGTTTTCAGTCTCATTAATTTTTTGAAAATAATATTTAAATATAACAAAATTTTGCTTTATGTTGGTATTTAAGAATATTACATTTAACGAAGTTAATTAAAAATTACTAATTAGTCCCATAATCATATTTAGTTTTTAATTTGTGCTGATAGAATAATTTAGTTAATTTTTACTAAATTACGCTTTTTGAATTTAGTGATATTATGTATCTATTTGTCATCGGGATTTACAAAGCTTGGAATGTTTTAAAAAACTTACGTGATTTTATTTAAACCATTAAACATTTATAGATACAAATTTTGTTTATGCGGTAGACTTTTTAAAATTGAATACTATAAATTCAATAACATAATCTATTTATTTTAATATTTTAAATTTATAGTTTTAAAATATTTTGATATTTTATTTAAATCTTTATGTAGATATTTATGTTGATGGTAAATTGTAGTATAAGATATAAACTACCTATATAATTAATACAATTGACCGACGATTTACTGAGTGCTAATTTACATAGTACATATTATTATACTACTGATGTTAATAAATTGAGCTGTAGTACATAATATGAATGATACAGCATTATTTATTCATACATTTTATGAGATATTTAATACTTCAGGGATCCTCATTAATTCTTACATTTATATTTATAACAACTATTTGGTTCAACATTTAAAATCACAGAACGTTTTATTTGATATTTTTATGATTTAAATGCTTTATATTATAGATAATTATATCAAATCCACGTAAAAAGATAATTTAGATATAAATATCAATGAAAAGAAAATAAAACAAACAGAACAGGTGCTGCTATCAGACAAATGGCATATACTGCAGATCTGGGCTGGCACGTTGAAATTGCTATAAATTCATCTCCAGAATCACTATTAGGTCCAGGGTTTAACATTTCTAAGACTGTTGTTTGCTGTGACCAAAAATTTAAAGGTAATTGACATTCACCTGTTACATTTAAACAAGATGAAGTTGGTTTTGAGACATCGTATACGGTTTTATTGATGGCAAAATGTATACGTATAAAGTTATCTTGAATCTCGTTCTCGCTGTTGAATACGAAAAAATAATATCCATCATCAGGAACCCTAAAATGTAAAGAATAAAACATTGTTATGGTAAAATCTAAAAATTATACTTTCTACATCAATGTGTAAAATATTAATATCCTTTTTTTTGATAAATCCAAGTTTATATCCGTACTCGAGTTCTAATTGTACGTGATTATAAATTATTTTTAAAAACTCAAAATTCTAAGTAATAGTTGAATTTGTATTCTTAAAATAGTTATAAGGAACTATAGTATAAATTGTATAATACATATACTATATGCGGTAAAATAAAGTATTACTATATTAATTCAGTAATTACAAAAATTAATAAACATACTTATAAGTAACAGTGTTTGGATGGCTGGCTTCTTCATAATCAGGATTTTTGTTTGGAGGTAAACATTTATGGTGTGGAGCTAATGGTAAGCTTAATAAAAGCCCTTCGCATTCGAGGAGCATTTCTTCACTACTGGAAAATGATGACCAAAACTCGCTGTGACTACGGTCCTTATTCATAGCGTGGGTGTTGTTTTCAGTTACTTTTCCACGAACTTGAGCAATCCCATCTGGTGAAAGTGCATCGGCCTGAAATAGTCATATTTTTTATAACGTTAACTTATTTGTTATAATTATAAAAATATGAAACATGAATCATTGTAAGTTTTATTATTAAACGTAAAATGATACTGAACATATTAATTTATTTTTATTTTGTATGTAGTACTGATTCATACTATTTTATGTAAACATGCGATAAATATATTTATAAATTTGAATTACAATGTACGTATCACTAGCACAAATAATCATACAAAACAATACAACTTGATGAATAATAAATATTATTTATTACATATGTAATGTAAAAAAAATTTTTTAATAAGAGTTAAAATCCGAATGGGCTGATCACTGGTGTCTTTCTTAAAACAATAATAGTTATAATTATATTGTATAGGTACGTATATAAATAATGAATCTGAGTGGAGCTGTTTTCAAAAATGATTTAATAATTTAAAAGCGATTGTTTTTTCACGTTGTTTTCTAAAAATGAAGGTAATTTGAAAATTGACTTATTTTAAGTCTTGAAGTTGCTACATGAATGCTAATTAATTGTTTCACTAACATAACTCCTCGTGGTTCGCTTGACAAAATATGGCAATTTACACAGTCAAGTTACTGGTATTTGGATCTTTGGAATTTAGTTACATGCACAATTTTTGGTTACTTGCAAGATTTATTGAAAACTTGTAAAAGTGAGTAAATTTCATCAGTAACCTATAATTATGCTAATGTATTACATATTGGAACACATCGCAACTATGTATACATGTATATATATATATATATTTGTTTCTAAGATGCTATGTACTATGTACGATATTTATAGGATGCAAAAAGTTTAAGGGTTATAAATGATAATTTATATTTATTTATATAGTTATATAATACGTAATCGATAATATACTATACCTCTTCATTGGCTGCATCGTTTTGTTGGTCATGTTTAAATAAATCTTTGCTCAAGTTGTCCTGATCTTTTTCATTTACAGTAGACCGTTTAAATCTACTACGATAATGCCTCAATCTAGGACCCTGCCATGATGTATCATCGTCAGCCATTGCATTTTCAATGATTTGATAAAGCCTATTTGTGTCATTCATTGGCTCGTTAAGATCATTTTGAAGAACTTCTTTTAATTTACGTAAAAGTGTCGCACCGTCTTTTCCTTGATTTCCCAATTTTCTTAACGATTCTTCGATCAATTCTTTTGATTGAGGTATGTTATTGATTTCGTTAACGTTTGTGAATACTGGCTTGGATTTTACCGTTTGGACTACATAATCCTCATTTTCAATTTTTTCTTTCATTTCTTTTTGATATAAATCTTCAGCATAATCTAAATGATGATTGGCAGTTTTACTGGATCTCTTAAAATATGTGCGGTTTATATTACTATCATTTGGATGATGTGTAAGGTAGACCACGTCAGGTGCCATATCAGGCACTGTCATACCAGAAGTAAGTTTTCTCATAAAATTTGGAATATGTGTGTCATTGCCTTCTTCAGAAGATTCAATTTCATCAACCTCTTCACTAGAATTATCTCCAATATAAGCGCATTCTTTTAAATGTTTGTGTCCTTTAATAACTATTATACTAGCTCCAGGCCACCTGTCGAAATATAATAATGATATGTTTATGACTTAAATTGCAGATGTTTTTAGTCAAGCGAATTTTTTTTTTGGAACATTTTTTATTATGAAAAATAAAATTGTTTAAATATTATTATTATTATTATTATTATTATTATTATTATTATATTTGATTAAAGAAAAATATCGTGAAATATATTTCACCTTGAGCATGTAGACACTTTTACGATTGAATCTTTCAATAGATAAAATCCCCAATATTCTTTAATATCGTCTTCTAACGTAATATGCCTCTCCATTTCAACAAATTCCATTTTTGGTAACATCGACGGTATCTCTGGCATCAAATATGCATTAAAAGTGGCATTAGTATTCACTATATGGCGCTGAAAATAATTGTTATAGTTTAAAAAAAGTATTCTACACAAATTAAATTCAATACTTACTTGACACCAAAATGTCGACATTTTTTGGTCTAATATTCTCATATCAGTAATAGCTAAAGGATATTTATGATCAGAATAAACATGATAACGAATGTACAATGGAGCAATGACCAAAATACCAGGCACAAGTAAACTTAAAATACATAGCCTGGCAGCTTTTAATGGTCCTTGAAGGCTATTAGGGTTGTCCTTTTTATAATAAACACCACCTAAAAAATAACGTATTTATTTTAATTTTATTTCATCTAAATTATACAAATCAATTGAAGATATTGGAAAATTAATTTAAAATAAAGTTATTTATATTTTGAAAGAAAGTGAAAAATATGATTTTTGCTAGATGACCAAAAGTATAATCCAAACTATATATTTTATGATTCACGCGTTTGGGTTATCCGATGAAATTGTGTTCATAGCAGAAAAATAATAATAAATAATTGTCATCAAGGTCGTTATCAATATAATTCTTTTTAACCTTTGGAAGGACACAGCAATGAATTCAGTAGACTATACACAGTTGTTGTTAATCCTTTTGCGTGATTGGTATACTTAATTCAAAACTATTTAAATAGTTCTAAATTTACAATCAATTAAATTTGTTACTTTTTGTTTTTGTCTTTTTGATAATTCAATAAACACTATAAATAAATATAAGTTACGACACACAAAAGTTAATTAATTAGACCTATACAATTCTACATAATTTTTAGTACATTTAATACTGTGGATGAGATAATAGATATATGTTAGGTATACACTAATTTATATTTTATTGATGCTATATTATTGGTTAGTAGTATAGATACAAGTACTGAGGTACCTATAGGTGATAAGTTTATAACTCATAAGATCAGTTCGTTCTTCGTTATTTATTGTGACTAGGTATACCTAAAATTTATAATGCAGGATTAAATAATAATAATTAATTGTATGATAAAATATAACTTATATCGTACACTGCTAAATATGCTGTACTGCTGCATTTGGGTTAAATATAAATGTACGAATCAAAAGGTCGACGAACTTAAAATAAATATTAAACGTTTAAAATACAAATTATATGTATATATTTTATATACTGGGTGATTGTTCTGTGGAAGAACACTCATTATTTCAAAAACTATAAAAGCTTCAGAAAATATTTCTTTAGAATCATTAATTAGATACAAGATAGCATATTTTTGCAGACTATTTTTTGGAGTGCATAAAAATCGAATTTTTGATGAGTATATCCTATAGGGTAGTATATGGTAACCTAATCCATGAGGATATCTATGAGAAATTAATTATTACCTACCTATACTCTTTCGAAATTTGGTTTTTATTTACTTATTAGAATTCTTGAAATAATATTCTATTTCTATGACTAAAAAAGCATGTTAATGTCATTCAAAAAAGTATAAACTAAAAAAATAATAAAAAATCTTGTAGGTATTGTATGCTGTAACGGTTTAAAAATATGTAAAAAGCAAATTTCAAAAATTTATTTGTTTTCGAAATAATGGGTGTTCTTAGATAAAATATTCATCCTGTATACTATTATACTCGTTAGCTATGAGAAACTATTATCATCAATTACAAAAACATAAAACTCACGTCTGGGAACATTATACTCTGTGGTTCGTGGCGGTCTCCCGTTTTCCTAGTCAATAACTTTTATGTGGGTTATTTGACCATTTGGGACACCCCGGCTTACACCATATTTGCTATACACTTATACGGAGTGAAAATATTTTTCTAACCTTGAATTAAAACTCATTTTTACATACGTATTATAACCGAAGACGTATGTTTGTACTCATCTAAAAAATAAAAATATCTTAGCTATGCATTATACTATATTATTATGTTGTCTGTTTTTATTTTTATAACAGTTATGTACAGAGTGTTCTAATGAACAACCTTAATGGAAGTACTTCGTACCAACCCATAGTCTGTGAATAAAGATTTCTCATTTTTTTTAAGGTCCCATAAATGTATTTGAACGTTATTTCAAAGTGTTCATCACATTGTTTATTTATTTCTTAGTACCTTTACTGTTAAGCCAAAAATGTATCATACATTCATACCTAATGGATAGTGATAATATAATAACGACATTCGTTATTTGTCCATTATTTTATTCAATGTCTATTATTATAATTTGTTGGTATACTATAGCTTAAATGGAAACTATAAAACATTGCACTATTTTAAAATGAACATCAGTTATCAAGTTACGATATATTTATTATCAAAGTTTTTAAGGTCATCAAAGTTTTTAAAAATCAACATCAATATTTTATTCTACTTCACAATTCACATACATATTACAAATTGTGAATTCTTACAACTTTAGACTTGCTAAAAATTTTAATACGATCTTACTCATAGATGGAAGCTGATGCCTTGAGTCTAAAAATAATTTTTCGAATTATAATAGCGTCTAAGTACAAGCTATAAATAATAGCAGTAATATACATGTATATATGCCTACTAAAATATGCATAATTTCTGAATTTTAAAACTATTGTATTTTTTTAATAATATAGTAATTGTATAGCAATAATAATTATTTTGAATAACATCGAATAGACTGATTTAGAATACAAGAGTGTAACAGTTGTGGTATATAGTATGTATAAATATTTTGTATCAACTATTTGAATATTTTTCTGATATGCATGATCATGAAATCAGTTTTGTTGACCTAATTTCTTCACATTTATGATCATCATTAATAACATTTTTATGTTTATTACTTTTAATAATATATTCGACAACGATACATCCTACATACTATACATAGTTAACACAACAAACACCGATATATAATATACATGACATGATTATAAATGAGCTTATAATGTGAAGAATTCGATTTCTGTGGCTCGTGTTGATCGCGTTCACTGGTTTCTACGAAATTGTCTACTAACGAGTAACGAACAGACGACGTTTAACGTCAGACAAGAATGATTGAACTCAGAAATTGCTCACGATCTCAATCCGATTAAAAAAAGGCAATGGCCCCATGGCAGTGGGTTTTTGAGCATTATATCATATTATATTCATATAATGTATAGATACTGACATAATATAATATACTGTTATCGTAATTCTAACGATTTGTCTGAGTGGTCGTCTGAGTGGCATGATTATATGGGACTCCTCAACTAATATGAGTTTGAGCACAGCGGGGTGCAGATGATCGGGAAGATGACGAAAAAGAAATGATAAAATAAAAAATAACAGGCCTGTTATTCAAATGACGGAGGTACGAATGAATAGTTGATAAATCGGTTAATCCTGTGCAGTTTTATAATGGCGAGTGCTTTGAATTCGCATTCGTATTTCGCCATCGGCATAGAGAATAATAATAATTATTATAATAGTAATGTTTATCATGGTAATTAATATTATAAGACCCTGTCCCGTATATAATATGTATAACGACGTAACGTTGTATAGTTTTATTTCCTTGTAATTGGCGTTTGATGTATATTACATATATATATATACCTACTGATTACCAAGTTTAAATTATGGTTGTTATTTGTTTGCATATATTCTTAAATATTTTTGATACGAGTATGATGATCTCTTGACTTTATGCGGTTGGTCATAATAAAAAAAAAGTCAAGTTGAGCAAATAAAATTGTAAATTGGTACTGATAGCGCAAACGTATTTACAGCGCAAATGTCTTTAAATCTTATGATATTATATTGAAAGTGTCAGTTTTAATATTGATGAGTTTAGTATACATTTTAATATGAATATTCAATACTGTAGGCTGTAAAGATATGGTAGGTACCTATTAATTTATAATATGATTACTACTCGTTAAGGTGCTTATTATTTTATCACACATATTTAAAATATAAATATCTGCAAATAAAAAAAATTATTAATTGTATAAAATAATATACTAAATGGGTTTTAGTTTTCAAATATTCTAAGACGTCAGAAGACAAGGAGAAAGTTTATATTGTATTATATTATTTCTAAATTGTTGTTTTATATGGTTGAAATGTACGTAATAATAGCTATTATACGTTTCACCTATGGGTAGGTACATCTAAGTATTGAGATAAATAAGCAAATAGTCAGTACAGAAAAAAACAAGATATAATTATAAAAATAATAATATTCTAAATAGCTAAAATTGTTATGAAAATTATTTAATATATAGAAGTGCCATATAACAACTACGTATCTACGTAGAATCATGAAAAATAAAATTTATTTACCAGAAAATCAACAACCAAGTCTGCAAACAATAGCAAGTATATTAGATAAATTTCTAATCTTTTATAGAAAGAATGTAAAAAATACAAATTCAAACAAACAAAATAACATGTATCTATATTACTTACGGTAGAGTAGTTCTTATACTCTTGTTAATACTCTTGTATTGCCCAACTAATTTGTAAACTATTCATATTTTATATTATGAACGGAGTAATTGGACCTATTTTGTTTTTAATCTTTTAGTCTGTCATCACATTTTGGACCAGTAAAAATGATTCAATCTTTGACTATGAAGAAATCAAGTTTTTGATAGCAAGTTGGAACTATACAGTTAGAACTTTCGGGGGTAAAAAGTAATATAATCGAGAAAAACTAGAATATTTATTTATTCACTCCATAGTTTTTGAAAAATTCAAACATTGAACATTTGAACTTATAATTATTTTAAGTTAATACCAATAATATAGGAGAAAGCAATATGATATAATATTAGAGATGTCAAAGGTAGACTTCACGCCAAATTCAAATCTGTTTTTAGAATTCTTATGACTTACTAATGGGTGGGTCAAGTTGGAAATAAAATATACCGCGTTTCTAAATTATTCCTATGTTGCACATGTGTTGAACTAAACATCCGTACTTCCCACTTCCCACCTCTTTAATTAATAAGTTAGGTTATAGTGACCTACTCAATGACGAAATACTTACACACGAATCCTACACTTGCTCTGAAGTAGCTCTGACTTCCCCGATTTTTTAGTCATATATGGCATGTTTCTACATAAACGAGATCACAGAGATTCGTTATGAATTATTGAACAGTATAACATGATAACACGAAGAAAACAATATTTTGAGTGATTCTTATAGGTGAAAGGTAGTTTTTTAAAATTAAAAAAACCACGAATGTTTTAGACATATTTATTCAATCTTAAATTGAGATACCGTACACCAATACGATCTTGTTTAGAAAGAAAGTTA